GACGAAATAGACGAAACTTTTATGTCGACTATTTAGAGCGATTCTTCAAACGGCCTAATTGCCGGACTAATTAGAGCTATCATCGTATCGGCCGATAACTCTTCGATCCCTATATATCTGCCATACATATGTATGTACCGAGTGATCGAAACGAAAGTTTCATGACAATCGTGCAAATATTTTTTATAAAATATCGCGATCTAAACTAAGCTATATAAAATGCAAAACACAATAACACATCATTTTATTAAATAAAAATTTGAAATAATTATATACGGTATCAAAAATAAAATATTCTTACGCTGTTTTGCATTTTACAAATTCACAATGCGATGTTGTATAAATTGTTCTTGCTAAAAATATGATTGAAATTGTCGATTCCAAGCTTTTCGATTACAATGGCCTACGCGTGCCACGAGGCGAGATTTCGATGAATGGATAGATAGTAGGAAGAATATATGTATAACTAGCCGATAGCATAGCGCAATCTGAACAGCTGTAAGAAGTTTACAACTCTTTATTCTGTAGGATACTGAATGCTCGAACTGTCGAAAATTTTATCAATATTATCAAATATCTAAGCGCTCAAATATTGAATCATCGTACGAAATGTCAACGCACTCGGTCCTATTCTCGCAGGAGGGGAATGTCCTTATTATTTGGAGATATTCGAGAAGATATATCCTGATTTGAAGACGCAAATATAATGTTCGATTAGCATTTTAAACCAATACAAATTCATCTACATTATCAGCACGATATCATAGCAACAAGATGTACAGTTACAAATATTCATATCTCCATTATACATTTAATATTGATAACAATTGATAATAATGTTTACGTTACATTTTTATATCATTATTATATTAACAAATAAAAGTCAGACTTTTAAAAACGTTTAAAAAAATCATTTTAAAGAAAATATATCGAAAAATATACACCAAATATTTATATAAATTTTGTAAAATTTTGTAAAATTATTTAAATTTTTATTGATAAAATTTTATTAGCTTAAACTAGCAAAACACCGTTTTTTGAGGTTCATTATATGTATAATATTATATGTATAAAGTTTTTTATCATTATATGCATAAAGTTGAAAAGAGATATGGATATTTCGAGATAAACGAGGATTCCGTGATTTCCAGGAACCAGCACCCGGAAGTCATTCAATGTTAAAGAACGACCGCCTTCCAGTAAATCGAATATACGCGACGAAATTAAAATAGATAAAGCGTAAATAGCGGCTCTTTCCGACACCCAGCAGCCGTACTTCAATGAACAGTATTGTCACGTTTGCGTTACGATTGTTTTTCGGACGTGCTTCGCTATACTTTTTCGTCCTTTCCACGTATTCCTATCATGCCAAAGGGTCAAGAGAGCTCAGGCACGATTTCCGTCGTTTGTTTCGTTCCGTTGTTTGTCCTCGTCGAAACTTTATCGAAATCTCGATGACTGACAACGATGTGAAAAAAAATCGGACAGCCATACGATTATACGAAGGGCTGACTCTCGTCAACCTCATCGAGCTCAACTCTTTCTTCTATGAGAAAGAAAAAAAAAGGCCAACCGAGTTGATCTAACCCAAAACCCATCATAAGCGATCGCCGCAAGAATTATCGAGCTATTTTTATTAAAATGATCTGTCGTAGTTCTAAACTAGACACACATGACTTCAGTAAGAAAAATTAATCAAATATAATATAAATATCGAAAAAGAAATATATACAAATAGAATTTTTAAACACATGATAAGAGAAATTCAAGGATGTCTTTTGTGATGAACAACAAATAATTGTGATGTCTAATGCATTTTAAAAAAAGTTGTAAAAAATGCGATTGAAGCTTAGATTAATGATTCATACATCGCCGAATTTTTCGGAAATCTAGAACATTCGAGTTCGAATTGAACGCTATGAGTGTCAAAGTACACATGTCAAAAGTACATATACGCGTGTAACTGTCGTATCGTTTACACGTGCGTGCGCCTGCGCTCCTTTTAATCTCCTAGATGCGGATAAGTGACATAAAGTCGCGACATTCCCACGTCCCTCGTGCCGGGTGGATTTCGATAAGCGCCATGTTTGCTCGACGTCGACCCACAGTCTATTCGCGGTTTTTGGGCTGTTAAAAAAGGGAAGTAAAGGACTCGACAAATATTTGAGACGCGTTATTACCGCGTGTGACCTAGTCCGCATGTTATATTATTCTCTCTTTATTTCGTTATATATATATATCGTTGCAAATATCATTTAAGAAAAAAAGAGATAAAAATAAGAGGCTCCACATTGAGGTCACCGAATTGTCACACGGTTCTCCTACGTTTACGTCAATACAGCTGAATTCGAGAAAACTTAAGCCACAATAAAATTTTTTTAAGAATCTACATTTTTTCTTATAAATTAAAAAAGAATAAAGTTGAAACTAATTAAAATAATTTTGATTGAAAATTCCAGATTCATATATTCCAGAAATAAATCTATGAATTGTGTATTTAGAGCACACGTTATTATTATACAGAATAAAATATGAAAAAGATGAGACGATACTAAGAAATATTTCTATAAAATTATATATGAATCGTATACTTAAAAGTGTGATAGAAAATATACAGATCTATATGTGTAATATGAGAAATTAGGAACGAAAGGAATTAACAAGTGACAATTTCATTTTAGTTTCTTTTTGTTTTATTTCTACAAATTAGCGTACATCTCACTTATAAATTACAATTTAATGTTCGCCTTCCAACGTGTACAACTATAGCGAGACATTAACTTACGCTTTTTCTATCGATTCTCGTAATATTGTGAATAAATATCTAAGTACAAAAGCACGGCTGTCAGCGTAATATAACTAGTGTTAATAATATACGCAATCTACATGTTTTAGTACGGAGCTGCAAGCTCATTTATATTAGTTGCATGCTCGATATCCAGGCTAATCGGTCCTCGATATATCGGTTATTTCCGGGATAGTGATTCTTTTACAGAATTCAAACTAATTCAGAATTGCATTTGTGATTTTCAAATCATAGAGAAGAAATTTCTTATAATATTATATCTTCAATTTTTTTTATTTCCGCAATTAATTTCTTCTTTAAGAAGGTTTGAACATAATTGAAATCGAGATGATCGGCAAGTTTCTGCTATGCGACGATTTTCAGATTCTGAAATGCTTTGGATCATTAAATAAAAAGCATCAAACGTATGTTTGTTGCCACCCTCGATCGTATTTCAGCCGTTTATTTGAACGAGGCGTACGCGAGCGTACGGCAAACCGATCGACGGTTTATAGCGTCTCGCGTATATATGTATATATATATAGTATATAGTATATATTATTACATTTGGTACGCGCCGTTGGGCACCGTATATATCGAGCGGCCGCCTGTTTGTTTGGCCTGAAATTCTGCGCTTTGGAATGGCCGGCTGTCATGGAATGATGTCATGGTGAGTATCGTGGCCGCGCCTCATCCACATAGTAGAGACTCTCAAGCCAGAGAATGGCTAATCTGCCATTTTTGTATTGAGCAAAAAGTATGTAACACGACTATTTCTCGGATAAAATAATTTTATAAGTAATTTTATTAAATAAATTATATCAAATAAAATATATAATGATACCAAATAAAATTATTAAATGAGAAGAATAGTGGTATTTTGAAAAAGTTATAAATTTTTTTTATTTTCAAGAAGGAAACCTTTACAAATAATAAAAACAAATAACAAATCTTTAATTTTTCTTTTCCTCTAATCTTCTTTTATAAAATTCAATTCAAAACATAACAATATCGATTGTAACAACCTAATAATTCGCTAGACGTAAAACTAAATATTATAGCAAAGATATATTCTCCCTCTATAAAAGAATTCTTCTCAAAAATATAAATATCGAGGAAAAAAAATTAATCAAGAAATATAATTCTGTGTACCTATCTTAAAGCATTGAAAAATATAATTCAAAAGATTTGATTCTGCCAATCTCTGACTTGTGAGTATCTCTAGTATCTAAAGATATATCTATAACAGATTAGAGTGCAACCACACTCTGCGATTTACATATATGTATATTTATTTACATTCTTTATTAAGTGGGGAGAAAAAATTAACGATGAATTTTGTTAATGTTTTTTTAAAAGTATTCACAATATTATAAATGTTATATATATTACGCTCTTTACATTTTGCGGTCTTCAAAAGGTGCAACTTGGTACGACAAATCCTTTCTTGTTTAACTTATGTATTGCTTGTTTTAGTTAGTTTAAGGCAGATACATTATGCATGTAAGTGTTTGTAAAATTTGTACATGGAATTAGAACACAATAAAATTCTAATTCCAATTTGTAAGTTTTCAGAAAAAAAATATATAAATGTAACTTTTTTATATTTATTGTACTTCTCTTTTTCTATATTCGCAATGCTATTAGACATTAGAAATATAATTAGGATTTCCTTCCTGAGAAAGGAACACTCTCCTAAGATCGATCTACAAATAATAACTGAAACATTTATGTACGCTAATATTATAAACTTTATCACACAAAGCTCGCGCATTTTGCATACAGTTCGCGATTAAATTCGCGGTAAATATATATTTATTAATATAATTCGTCTCTGTAATTATAATCTTTAATTACATTGTATTTGGCTATCTTTCAGGCTCGATGCCCAGCAACGCCGCAGGAATTTAACACCGCGGTGATGAATTTAATTTGTTTATACAATCTGCGTCTGTGTGTAACTCTGCGTCGATATAACATCATCGACATAAAAAAATGAAGTGTCTTTAACGGGTCGTTTAATACATTTCATATAAAAATATATCCGTTGAATAGTATTTACTCTCTTGATCTACCAAAAAATATTTTAAAAATATTAATGCGTTCCTTGAAAATTTAATACCGATGTTTTCTTAATAAAAAGCGAAATTTTTTTCTGTGAAAAATTTAATTATATATTATATTATTAAAAATAAAAAATTTAATTATATATTACATTATTAAAAATAAAACCGTCTCCACGCGTAAACAAAACCTTTGCTTCTCTTCGTACAACAAACCTTCGATTCCTAAATAACAAGGCGATGTCAATTATAGTATGATTTTATGTTGACGCGTGGAAAATTTATTTAAATATTGTAATAAAATATTTTGAAATTTGTAATGAAAATTTTGAATCAAAAATAACATCTGTCGATATTTTAAGACAAAATCGATACATCAAATTCCGAAATTATGTTGTTGAAATACTTTTCGGCGAATCTGGGACGATTTATGCGAATCTTTATTCGCTTATTCTTGTACGTAAATCGAATATTCAATGATACTTCCCACGGCACATCATAGTGCTCCATAAAAATGATAGACCATCGTCGTGTTTACCTGGTTTTGATCCTACATGTAATTTGGCCACGTCTCGATACCAGGTACGTAACGATGAGCATATTGCGCATAGGACGTGGACACGTGCGGATGGCTCATCTGCGCGGTCGCATGCGAGTGATGTGTATTATGGGCAGATATGTATTGGACTGGTGGAAGGGGAGGCTGCAACTCGTGATACCTGACCATCTCCTGGGTCCTATCCTCCCATGAAACTTCCGCGATCGCTTGTTCCGAGTGGCGCTTGATCGGTCTCTCGATCTCCTCCTCATATCTAGAAACAAGAGGTATCTCGACATCTCACAAATTGTATAAAAAAGTAGCAAAGATAATTCAGGAGAAAATAGAAATTATTTATGAAATTATTTAATCGGACTTATTATAATTGGGTTTTCGAAATATATCGACATTATTTGTACAGACCTATTTTTTTCGCGAATTACTTTCGTACATGTATCCTATAATCACTTTAATTTAGATTTAGATTCAAGGAATGCCATAATTAATTCCACGTTTCTTTCCAGTGTCATCATTTTGTAAACGAAAGTAAGATGGACGATTCTATACCTGTTAAGTAACCATTGCGAAGCGGTGGTGACTTGCACAGGTGGATATTGATGTATCGGCGTGGTCTGGGGTGGTAGATATTGGTCGAGCTCGTTGCTCTCGACCTCGCACTCCTGGAAGTTCACCGGCAGATTCAGGCCGAGCCCGCCCAAAGTGCCGAGGCCGTTCAGCTGGTTTTCCTCGCCAAGAAGGCTGTCTCCGACTTCGATGTATCGAAGATCGACCGCCGGCTGCTGATGCGAAGAATCGCTTGATGGTGTGTTGCTAACTAACTCCTGATAGTATACGGTATTGTTTTGCGGAGGCTGATTGGTCTGCACATTAAGCATTTTTATTTCGCATGACCTTCATGATTAGACATGATCGAAGATGCAAACTAAATTTATCAAGCAAAAGATATAGTCTTAGATAATTATGTTTGTGGAATCGATTACTTTCTCCCTTCTCGCTTTAATATAATGATTAGAGAAAAGAGAAGTAATATGAATATTAATTTACATAGATTTATTTCATTCTAATATATGTATTCCATTGTTTATTATTATTACAACTGTTGTTACGTTCACATTTAATAATATTATGATTTGATATATTTATTTGATATATTTTACATAAATATTTAATTATTTAAATCAACTTTTTTCATTAAATTATAAAATTTAAAATCGAAAGAAATATGAACAAGAATTAAAACAAGAATTAAATACCTGATTGACATAATGCTGTCCTCTGGGTGTCGTAGGGGGTGTCGGCGGTGAGAGACCTTGGCCGGGAGTTGTCGGTGGCGAAGAGCTCACGCCACTCTGTGGTGAATTAGGCCCTTGCACACCCCTGGGACTCATATCCTCCTGTTTCAACGACCTGGAAACGCTAAACGTCACATTGCTCTGGTTCCTCGAAGGTGAACTATCACGACCGGAAGAAGGCCCGTTCTGCTTTCGACGTCGGGGTTGATACTTGTAATCGGGATGCTCGCGTTTGTGAATAACACGCAAGCGATCAGCTTCTTCGATAAAGGGTTTCTTATCGTTATCGGACAGGAGCCTACAACCAGTCGTGGTAATAAAAATAAAATATTAAATAAATCGGAGTAAACAACAAAATTATTTTTTTATTTTTTGATAGATAAATTGCATTATAATAAGACTAATAGTGCGTTTTAAACTGCATTTGAATATATGTGCTCTTACATTTCTCTACGCACCTATATACATATAATATAGTTTTATATACTACGCGCATATATACATATAATATATTAGAATATTGTGGAATAATTTTCAGGTTCAACCATACGTGAAATCTGTCATCGAATCGACGTGATTCATGTTTCTCGCGCTTACGTATTACGTACATATACACGCGAACGACCGTCTCTCCTCGCTTCGCTCGGCATCAGAAGAGGCTTGAACAAGAGCGTTTCCATCGGCATCTGATACACTCTCGAAGAGTCGAAATGGGGGATCTGGTTAGTGTTTCTGGGTGCGTTAAGGCGTTTGGAGACGTGCACAACTGACACGTCGACTTAGTCAGCTTCGCAGCGGTCGACGTGCGGACTTTCTCGCTGCCCGGTTATGGTCCTTAATGCTTTGTGTTTATATATTCTCGCTAGGTTTGTAAACTCCGATAAGGTTTTCCGGTATAATAGAGAACGTCGAAGAGAGATTTCGAGAATTTCCATCACGCTTCGCTACTAATGATTTATGTCACGATTCTTCAAACGTGTTATCAATATATCAATAAATAATAAATATCAATTTATTTCGTAATTGCAGAATAATCTTAGACTGAACTGCATTTTTTTGTCTATGATATCCTTCATTTTGAATATGAAGTATTGAGTTCTTGATTGATAATCTGATGTTTTTATTTTCAAATATCTTTATTTAATTGCTAAAATTTCACAATATGTATTATAAATAATATATTTCATATAATATAGGAAATAAAAAAGAAACTGTTCCTAAGAATCGTGAGGAAACTTTTAATATGTTATCTGGAATATTTGCAAGCTCGTGGGATTTAAATTCCACGACAGAAGTTAAGCTCTCAAACGAGTTGAGGGCACGTATCTTAAGCTTAAGACGCTGTTTTGTCACTGACGGAAGGGAAGAGAGAACGATAGAGATAGATGGAGTGGAAGACGAATAGAGAGTAAGAGAGGAACGAAAAGAAAGCCCATCTGGTCAATGGACTTGCCATGAGCTTTTTTTCACCAGTGGATGCCAACGATAGTCGCGGCTTCCCTTTTTCCTCGCCAGATGCAACACAGGGTCAACCAATTTAGTTTTAGAGCTGCCTGTCACTAGTATCTCTTACTTGTATATATCAGTAAATATGTTACCTCGCGTAAAGAAGTAGGAAATATATTCACACGGTCAAAAGACGCGTAATTCAATCTCGATGATCTCTTCATCATTCTAATTCAATTATCACGCCTGTCATCTCGAATAATCGACAAATCGTCGAAATTGCTCTACTTTCTCGAAACGCTCCTTAATTAAAGTGTCAAAGCAGTAGTCGTTTTTGAGATATTGAATATGGAATATTGAAAAATAGCAATTAATAATAACTTTATATAAAGATAGAGAAATATTAAAAATTAAAAATTAATAATAACTTTATTATAAAGATAGAGAAATATTCTGTATAATTTTTGCAAGCACGACTTACGCACTTGAGCGACAATGAAATTATAAAATTTCTGATCATTGCTGGAAGGATGACTTACGCTTTTAGTTAGCGCTGATAATGCTACCGCAAGATTCTAGGGGAGAACGTTCGAAGGAAGTCCGATGTGGAAGAATCTTTCCTTCCGGGAGATAAGACAGATTTACCTGTTCTCGTATACGTTCACGCTATTTGCAGGCAGATCCGGGGAGTAGAAGGGCAGGTCGGAAAAATTCACCTGACGGGCACAAGGCACCTATTGTGGTCCCTGGGGGCCCCTTTATCTCCGGCAGGAACCGGCCGGCAGCTGCGAGCACGCGCCAAGGATGAACCAGAGGGGATATCTGTTTTTCTTTTGTCGACAAACACGTCGCGTTTGGTATATCCGAATGGCGATACGTCTTGAGAGACGGCGTAAAGAGACAGAGAGAAAAAGAGAGAGAGAGAGAGAGAGAGAGAGAGAAAGAAAAAGAAAGTGAGAGAAAAAGATTTATTTCCAGGCATTCTAGCACCTGGCCCTGTTATCGAAATCGTTATAAGACAAGTCGGCGTCCGCAAGGATTCGACGAGTTAACTGACACGATCACGAATTTTTGTGCCAAAAGCATTAGACAAAATTCATTTTATCGCTTCAATCTATCGATCATTATCATAAATTTCGATTTATATCAAATTTATTTTTTTTAATTTTATATTTTTGTAGATTTAAAAATTTCCCTAATTTTTATATCTTTTATATTTAATTTCATTTCTTTGTATGTATAAGATCATATATTGTAATTCAATTGTTTCTTTATCCATTTATCTATTTATTATCTCATCCCCTTTATTCATCTCTTATGAGCAAAGCCTCGTATATAAACCATCATTTCGCGATCTATACATTGATATGAACTTCGTATTTTATCGGCTTCATCAATTCGTAAGCAACCTCCATGTAACAATCACTCTAGTACTGTGTTCATTACCGAAGATGACTGTATCATTTGTTTCGGCACGTAAGATAGATCAAAACGTCAGAGCAGTGCATGTGTCTCTCAATTGCGCAAATGTAAATTCTTTGCGTACGACGAGAGAGCTTAGAGACGATTTGGCTAGTTCATTTGCGCCTATTACAAGGAGCTTTGGCGCAATCATGAAAATATCTCGTGTTCGGACGAGAGTGGTAATTGATACTAGGTCCATACCGAAAAGGTGTTAAATAATGACTTTTTAAGAGCCGAAACGTATAAGATGAAGGTACCTGTCAAGGACGACTGTTGCTTCTTCCAAATTACAATCAGAAAATTCGCTTTTAATGTTTAAGTTTCGTCTCCGACAAATAATAGAATATTCTTTTCCTTTCTATCTTTCCTGTATGTCCTCATTGAAAGATAAAGATTCAAATATACGAACAATAAACGTCACGGATGTTTTTATCGAATGTTGATTTCATCGATACGCAACCAAGAGATTGCTAATGACTCTCGATATGGTGTTAAGAAAAAATCGATTGATCTTTAATGCTGGATAGCGTTTTATCTTTCGGCAAAAGCTCCGCCGTGACAATCGTCGGGATATCAATCGTCGATCTTTGGCGAGCAATCGCGATCGCGACCGGTATTATTAAATGATTCGCAACGGGGGTCCTTGTCGGCGCGTCCTCTGATGATCGTTATATGGCCCACTGGGGCACCTCGTTAGTTCCAACCAGGAAACGGAATCATCCACAAGTCATCCTGAAGCCTACGTATATAGGGTGTGTCAAAAGTCAGATACTCTATATCCCTTTTTCTTCTCAATCATTTTTTTTTAATTCTAGGAAGCTAAATATAATTTTTAAAGCTTGAAAGCTTTCAAAGACGCTATAACATTTAAATGGAAAGATTTATCAATAAATGTTGCTATAGTATTATTTATAATAGTGAAAAATAGTATTCTAATAGTATTAAAATTGAGCAAAAAGTGTTTTACAAATATTTCTAATTATTAAATTAAATTATTATTAATAATTCTAATTATCAATTATTATTAAATACAATAATTCTAATTATCAATTATTATTATTAATTTTTTTAATTATTGACATTTTACAATTTAAATTGTAAAATTTAAGGAACATTGCGCGCACGTTTTGTTTATTTAAAATGTTTTATTCTATTTTTTTTTATTGCTAATTTTTTCTTCTAAGTACAATATTGTGGAAAAATTAAAAAAATTTAAGCGATATATGAAATATTAAAAATGACTCGAATAGTAGGGAGAATCTGATTGTAACGGAGGGTCGCAACAGCATGCAAAGTGTGTTCTTCGCTGTTACATATGTGCGACCCGAGTTCATGGGTCTCGTGAAGCAGGAACACTTGTAGCGTAGGCGCCACGTGTGGTACGAGTGTGTTTAATATACGTGCCGCTGAAGTAAAAAAAGGAGCATTCGCGAATTCGTTGGTAAAAATAGAACGGGTTACGTACATGAACAAGTGGTCACGGGAATTGGAACGCAGTGACTCCGAACTTTCACGCAATCATTATAGACGACGTTGACTCTTTCCGGCCCAACGATTTTGATCGAAATCACATGTATTGTCTTACATAAGAGAAACCGTACGATTACGAAACCATTAACAAAACATTCTCCTCTCTTTATTTTTTAACAACTAGCAAATCACACTAAATTTAACTGCAAGACAAAAATTAAAAATTTTTTAAAAACAATTCATATGGCACAAAATCTAATAAATTTATTGGAAATAGTTAAAAAAAATTGTATTTTTCAGCATTTAAATTAACAATTGCAATTAAGAACGCGCATGAAAAGACTTTTGGTTTATTACTACTTATTAAAATTGTATTATATTGCATTCATATTAATATTAATACAGTTAAATTGTAATAGCACCAATCTTGTTGGTCAAGATTATACTTGCTTCCTCGAATTCAAAGCGCGAGCTTTGAAAGCATTAAATCGACGATAAACGCACAGGTGGCTTCGAATCAACGACAGCTGAAACGATCAACAACAGATTTCCGTGCGGCTCGCAATCCGATTTTTTTTCCGTACGAGGCGAGCGCGAATGAAGATCAACGAGCGCGATTCTCTCGCGTGGCTGAGATCCGCCGCTTGGCAAGCTCGTATTTGTGAGAGAATCGAGCTTATCAGATGAAGAAAACGGAGAAGCACCCGATTGAAGACACGTGGTACCGATTAATTTTATCGAAACAGTGTCTTTCTGCCAGGCGCGGAGACCGCTGAACATTATTCGGCTGAGCACTCGCGAGTGTACATTAATCTTCAAGCACGATTTTTATACAATCGAAACAATGCGATTAAATCGAATAAAAAAAATTAAAACAAATATTTAATCTTTTTTTTTGCAATTTTATTCGATTGTAATTTTATTAGATTTTAATCTGAATATGTATAATCTAATGCAAATCTCAAAAGAAAGAATAAAAAAAATAATTATCTCTGTCATATTTATACACACATAATTGATCTTTATCATACAATTCTAGAAAAAAAAAATATAAAGCGAAGCGAGGAGAATAAATTTTTAATCAATTGTTAGTAATAAAAATATAATGTGCAAAATCTAAAATTATGTATATCTGAATGAAAATAATTAAACATCGTATTTTCTAAGAATAGAATTTATCATAATACTAATTTATATTACTGTTGCAGTCTGACGATTCTAAAATATTGATGCAAGGCTAAAGAACATCACGACACTCACCGCCATAATTTTCCTAGCGTTTTCGACAGCTCGGCGTTGTGAAGTTGAGGATACTGATCGGCTAGTTTTCGCCTCGCAGCCTGGGCCCACACCATAAACGCGTTCATGGGCCTCTTAACGTGGGCCGCCCTTTTGTCGCCGGAGCCCCTGTAATTCGAAGACATTATCTTCATTGGAAACGATACCTCTTTATAAACTTAAGTAAGTGCACACAAATATATTAATCGCTAGAAATCTATCGATTTTCTTGTATTTATATGTCAAGAAAATACGTTTATTCATCTAATTATTGTGGTCACTATTAATAGAGCCACCTCAATAATTAATGTACAATTGATATGTGTAATTCGTTTAACGCTTTATATAACATACGCTATAACGTAATTTTGACATCTCTATGGTAGATTTATTTTATTAAACATTTTCCATGAAACTTTCACGAAATTGCAGATATTCTTGTTAGTGAGTTTACAAACTACGTATGATGATAGAGGTTTTTTTTAGATCGCCCAATCGCTGATAGAAATAAAAGTGAAATTTTACGGAGATAGGAACTTTCTCTCTTTCTCGCTCTGTCTCTATCTGTCTATCTATCTCTACCTCGTCGACTATTCTGGCAGATAATCTGGTGACTTGCAGAAGAAAATAACCAGAGGCGAGACGGCACGTATATACACATCTACACACATATACATATCCGTATCGAGTTTTGCCGCGGCGGGCTACCCCCGGGTCATCCTGGCGAGCGTGCGGAGCGTTTAAAACCGGCCTTAAAATAACACCGTGGCTGCCGACGTGTGACGGGTATATAGGAATGGACGTATCCCTTTCTTTCCGAGAAGATGACTTCATAAAACTTTTGCCTTGTCCAGCCGGGAATCGACGTGACTGACGTGATTGCCGCGTCGGAGAGATATCCTCGCCCTCCTGTTTTTCTTTTTGCCCTTAATCGAGGATTCTTTAAGGACTCGCGCGGTCCCGAGTGAACAATCATGATGCGCGAAGAACGGACGGCATACGGTATACGAGATTATTCTTTATCAGAAATCCATGGATAAAAAATAAATGCTTTTTGCACTCTAAAATATTGTAAAAAATCGATATGACAGAAGGAATAATGCAGAATAATAATTTTAATATTGAGTCAATATATGTGTTTCGTGTATTTATATATGATATAAAAAAAGAATATTACGATTGATTAAAATCCTGTCGAGGAAAACAGAATTCAAGAATAACGTCTAGTTATAGTAACTTATGTAATCGGACCTATAAGCGTTCGATTCGCGCGTGGATTACATGGGGATAAGCGTGGCGAATGCGCGTAACACGGGTGAAAAGGATTCCGGCGTGCGTCTCAAGGATTCGAAAGCGGTCTCCCTTCCTCCGTATATTTCGGCCTCTTTGAAATGAGAGGGGCGTTAAATCCGTGTGTAAACCCGTGGAGCCGTTGGTAATTAGCGTGGGCTCACTAACGAGGGTTTTCACGGCGCTCCTCGACATGAACGCGGCATACACGATGTACGCGTCATGAGGCGCGCGTGTTTTACCTGAATACGCGCAAAAAACGCTTACGTGCGCGACTCGACGTAGGCGTGGTGCTGCGTAAAATGGCACGAACGTGCAGCTTTACAACAGAAACATCGAAAGCCTAGGTCTCGTACGCGGAGTGTCGATGTGAAAATAAATTAAGCAAAATTAAAAAAAGAGAATCTCTCATAATTCTTTTTTTGTAATAATTGAATTGACAAATAAGAAAATTATGCGTCTTAAATTTAATTAATATCTGAAAATTTTTGCGTAATAATTGCGCTTACAAATTAATATCGTACATTCCAGAAGTAGAGATAATCTCGCAGCTTCTGTGAGATGCGCGATATGCTCCCACGGAATCCATGGGCTTATTAAAAACTGATGTATTTTATCGGACTCTATCGCCAGGAATAAACACCGCACCCTACAGCTCTACCCCGAGATAACCCTGTAATTGAGGGTTAGCGATAAGCGCGATACACAGTCCGTGATTTCCGTTGTAGCATGCTTTCCTCTACAATCAAATATCACATACCTAGCATAATTGCTCTTCTGTCTCGTCGAATTCTCTCCGCATTTTATCTTCGCACGCGACAGCCGTGATCTTTCGCAAGATCTCTGTACGCGTTTAATGACATTGAGATAAAGAAATTAATAAGCAGGAAATCTTTATAGATTCTTGTAGATTAAATCATCGGTTCATTTTTATAAAAATAGAAAAACAGCACAATTAGGAATATAAAATCACAGCATTGGCGGGCATTACATCGCGGATCGGCACAATTTTCTGCGTATCGAGGTCGCGCACATGATTTTATCGAGCTTGTCGGGATCTAATAATTTTTCTACGCAAGCACGATGCGCCGAGGACACATCGCGATGACGCGTCTCGCAATCATGGCAAAAAATCGCTTTTTATTTCTTCCTCTTTTTTCCCGACCGTTATCAGTTATCTCGACTGAAAGGACCGGGTTCCTTCCCACGATCGACAGCAGTCGTGCGGGGGACGCGGCGATCGGGCATTAATTAGCCAATTTGCGTTAATTGGCGACCGAGGACATTTTCCCGCGAGGCGCGCGTTTCCCAGGCCGGGGAAACGAGTGCGTCATAATTGAGTTAGCGTTACGTATTTTTAAGACCGCGCCACGTTCCTCCTCGTCCTCTTCTTCTCTACCCGGCGCAACTTCGTCGCATCCGTTTTTCTTCGTCCCTCCTCTCTTTCTTTTCTCTTTTTTTTCTTTCTTTCGCTTTAATGTTACCATCGCACGGTTGAAGCCCACGGGTCTTAACGGCAGCCACGTGTATACCTGTGTATATGTATGTTAACGCGTCGCTAATACGACTCGCGGTGATTAAAATGCTTCACGAAATGTGAAGAGATACAAAGAAGCTGGAAAACGAAAGAGAGATAGGTCTCCAAAACGCGCTTTTGTTTAAGCAATTAATTAACTTTTCTCTGTTAAGGACAAAAGAATGAAATATATCGACATTTTAGAATATATATCAACGCGAAATATAAAATAGCAATACACAATGTTGAACTATCATATATCATTATAAAATATTCCACTCGTCAAACAGTAGTCTAACTTTGCGCAAACATTACCTATGTCAATATTTTTCAGAATTTGTTTGTCTGTCAAATTTTTTCGTCCCTCTTTCCATCATTCTTCAATTAATACAATAATTCGCAGCGAAGAAGCTTATAAATCACTCTAAGTACGAGCGATTTTGCACGGAATATTTGCTCGAAAAGAATGATAATAATTTAAAAAAAAAACAAGGGGGGGGGAGAAAAATATGAATTTGCCACGTGATACACTTACTTGGTAGCAACGGGTACCAGAGTCCAGTCGTATCCCTGGAGAACCTTGGCGACGGCGGCGCTGATCCCTTCGCCGCCATTGGCGGCTACCGTCGCGGCGGCTGTCGCTTTACCATTACCGTTGATGTTGTTATTATTGTTGTTGTTATTATTATTGTTTCCACCTGGCGACGAAATGGACGTGCTGGAGCTTTCCGGCTTGACGTCGTTCATCTTCATCCCCTTTGTCGCGCGAACAATGTGAGCGAGGATCGAATCGAGTAGTCGCGCAATTAATCTTGCCGATTTATCACGCGCAACATGCGGAAAACACGCTCATCTCGTCTCGAAAAACAGCCGTCGATCAATTAATCGTTGCTGCTGTATCGCTATCGCTGCCTTATCGCTTTATCATCGCGACGAGAGTGTGTCAGTCTTTTTTCCTTCACTCGGTTGGTTTTGCCGATGCTGTCTCTCTCTTTGCTATCGACCCCGATAGCTTTTTCCTTCTCTTTTGCAAATCACGTTTCGACTGTTGATGTTGATTGTTGGCACGTTTAATTAATTTCGCTCGCGATTAACTCGCAACTCGCGCGTGATTCGATATGCGTATCTTCTCTTGATTACTCGTCTTTTTGCTCGTCCTGATTCAACTCCGTCACTTCTTATCTTTTCTCTCTGTCTGTGTGTATCTCGGCGGTTGAAAGTCTCGCACTTGGTCTCTTTCCTGAGAAGATAAATTTGAACGGTGAAACTGTGAGTCGCGCGCTAATTACATCCTTCGATGGTTGGTGTTCTTATATTTTTCGGTGGATCATATTGTACCTTGCTTCAGCGATGATGTGAGTTAGCGGCTATCCCCGATTGGGTAGCACGTGTTCTTTAGATGCCACTGACGTTTAAATGGATCGTTCTACCATTCGACGTAGAAGGTCTCTTTGGAAAGGACAATGATTACACATTTAAGTATTGTTACGTCGTAAAATCGTCCGTAACGTCACTGGAGAACAAAATTGTTCTCCAGTACATACAAGATCCTCCGCAACATATGACGGAGAGTTTTAATAGATTCAAGCGTTCAATCGCGCTGTGAAAAACAATTAACCACCAGTCCTGGCCCAGCCTGGCAAGGCTATGGAACTTGCTCGACTCGCACCTCTTACTCTTTTAAAGTCTCTTTCGTGGGTGCTCAAATACACATATCGACACCGTGAGTGATCCGAAATTTTCGTCTTGAAATTCTTTCGAGCCGGGACAAGCCGGACGTTTTCGCGTTCGCGTGAAACTCGCGCCGAGTTGAAAGCGGGGTTCGTGGATGCTTGTCGCGCGATCGGCGCTCGAGTGAGGTGGTTGCATCGCCTCGGGGCAGTTTCCACCACGAGGCTGACATCGTTTCTCAGCTGGTTCGTTTGGGGGCGGGGCGAAGGCAGCGTGCTGGTAACACTTGTTGCTCCGAAAGTCTCGGCAAGTCCGTCGCGTACACCGGGAGGGAGATCGCCTACTCCGGTGGGGCAACGGTGGTAGTGAGATGAGGAGAGACGCGCGACGCATTCGTTCCGCGTATCTTGCGGTCGTCGTTAGACTCTGTAAGCGACGAGGACCGCGACCAAATAAGGCAGTACCTCCACGAGAGGGAGACTCGGCTACACTTTTAGCTTCTTCGTATTGTACCGCACTGTCAGTAATTCAAATTGAAATTTTTATTGTAATCAAGAATAAAAAAATCAATTTATATAATAATAAAAAACAAGTATACTGCATAATTAAATCATGTTATATTAATAAATGAAATTATATTAAAATTCATTATTGTAGGAGATATATATAATCTAAAATCATATATATTACACTTATTATATATATCTTAAAATGAAATATATACAAAGTATATTGAAGAGACTTTAGTAAAAAAAAAATACTATGCTTACAGTAATGCCAAGCATTCAATCACCTTTCGGTGTCCATTTAATTTTCTAATATGATTCTTATTAATATATATTACAATTTATTTCTTTAAAATTCTTTTGACACTTAATGATAAATCGATGATGTATCAAAGATGGAAATAAGTTTGATTTTGTTGGGCAAAGTAAGAACCCCTCGTTGCAACAATATTGCATCATATGACTGCAACATTGTCATATTCTGGAAATTTTTTAACGCGAGAGATTATCAGCCGACCAACAATGAGTAATAATATCGCGATCTCCCTTTCGTTCTTGGACAGGTCATCCTCTCTTCTTCCTCCCCCATTTCCTCCTCCTTCATGCAGTCGGATCGCCGGTCATTCCATTTATATTTCGGTACTCTTGCCACTCTGACAAGAGAGTTTCCATGACTACGATATCCTCCGGGAGGAGAACCAATCGAGTTCTGCTTGCTCCACCTATCTCTCGTCTCATCTCACTTCTTTCATCCCCCCTTTTATCTCTCTCTCTCTCTCTCTCTTTCTCTCTTTCTCTTTCTCTTTGTCCCTTCTCGCAGCTCGTCGTTTCTGTTCGCGATCTCTTTCTTCCACCCGGTCCCCTCGATTGGTCCGCCAGTCGGATGCAATTATGACGTCAGAAGAGAACGAGAAGAGAACACGCTGCAGCAAGCCGATTGCACTCATGGTTGCACTCATATTGCGCTTATCGATCGATTCTCGCGGTGATCGGACATTTGCGCTAACGTTACGCACTTTACATTCGACGTTTTGTCGAATCGAAAGTATCATTTATGAAACGATATATAACACGATATATAACAAACTTCCTTCAGATTCGTCCAAATTTTTGTACATTACAAAATTGCATCTGTGCATCTCTAACACGCATAAATCTTGATATATGTTAGTACTCAGGCAACTGTGTCTCTGGAACGCGGCTCGAGTCATTAATCATGTCGGTTGTAATTATCGATTTCATAAGCCTCACTCCGAGCGAATTAATCAGAAAGTTATAGGAATTTAGTTTCGCAACGAAAATTAAGTGTAGAGATGAGGAAGATTCGCGATAAGCGGAACAAAACTGCCTTACGGTCAATTTTCGTAAATAAAATGTACAACTTTTGTGTATTCTAGAATAGATAACATCTTATCTTGTGATAAGTTTTAAAAGTAATACGAAGAAAATCTGGTAAGAAACTTCTAGGTTCTGGCAACTAATTTGCAATAATTTATTCATTGAAAGATCATTGTACTATTTAAACAATGATAGAAGGCAAATAGGAAGCATTTTTTGAGAAAATTGTGTATTAACTGAGCTTTTCAAAGCTTATTTTAAGTTCGAATTTATTTTGTTTTATCTTTATATCATTAAATGCTACACTTACATCCATTAAGATTTGAAAAAAATGATTTGACTTGTAAATCATCATAATCTCATATCTGCGCTACTGACACCGCATTCTATGCATACATGACGCATTCTGAAAGATAATCGACAATGATTGATTCAATACCTTTCAATAACGAGATCTATACTCAATATTTCTCCAAAAAGAATAGATTTATTGTTTGCGTACGAGTATCATTGAAATAAATAATTGATTTTATAATCTATCATATATATTTACACAAATGTATCATTTTAATGACACTGACTAGACTTGACGCATATAATTCAGACTGTAATAATACTTTAATCATCTTTCAAGAACTCGGGGAGATATTAATCAAATTTGGAGATTTGCTTTTCTAAATTTAAGAGAAAACTTAGAATCTATTGAAGACGTAATTAGCTGCAACAAAATCAATCATTTCAAGAAGCGATTACCTCATTTTTATTGTTCTTTTTCGCGAGACAATTTTTGCAACTTGCAACATTCTTGTGCAAGAATGCTTTAATCGCGATTCGCGAGAAATCGAGTGAACGCGCGTACGCTCTCGTACACGTGTAGTTATCGGCCTCGTGTACTACGCAATGACGTTGCCGGGATGCGATGATGACGACGCAGAATGTGTCGAAGCTCGTGTCTCCGTTGGGGGTCGCGGTGCTTGCCACCCGGGGGGGCTACATGTGTCGGGTACCCGGCTCGATCGACTCCCCTTTCCCTGCCCTCAGGATCCTTTCAAGTGCCTGACGGCACGCCGCCGACCCCCAGGAATTGCTGGAATTATTATTTTATCCTGGCGAATCGCGCGCGAGAATCGCCCGTTTCAATAACAACCTTCGATTCGCTCGATACATCCATCATCGAGGATTCTCAGCGAAAATTCTCCTCATTGTTTCCAATTACACGTATATTATATATGATTAATAACGTTCATAGTCAATATTTATGATTGTAATAAGTAATATAGTATAAATGAAATATTCCCTAATTTTTTTCAAATTAAGAATTATTTTCTGTCCATCATTTTAAAATAAAATTTACAACAAAATATAACATGTAGTACTTTTAAATCTTAAATAAATATCCAGGTAATTCATATTCAAAATTGAAAAATGCAGAGTGTTACATCATTTACATCTCTCATCTGCAACATGATTTTTCCAAAAGGATTATATTTCTCAAAATTATATCTTGTACGATTGTCCATTAACGCGGTTTCGTGAATATTTATTTAAAGGGATGCACTAATCGTCTCGAAATGAAGAAACGCAAACGCGAAGCGTTTCCTCTCGAGGCTGCGTCTCAGGAACGGCCCTGAAACGAATTCTCGCTTACGTACACCGAGAAACGAAAGACGCATATTGACGCCACGTGCGCGCGCGCCGGGATGTTTATCCCGGCAAGAGCAAAATTCCGGCTTCGTGAAATCAATATTATTGTTCCCGTCGGGCTAAATTTGCATTGCCGGCGCATCGCGGTCGCCGCATAATGCGAGCGCACGTCCGGACAGACATTTAGAGAATCTGCGAACGAACGAACGAACGAACGAATATATATCTTCGAACACAGAACAATGATGAGAAGTATTTATCGCGATAGCTCGATTTATTTTATTACTATCATTTATAAGTCTCGCCAGATTAATTTTATTTTTATCAAGCATTACTTTGTTAAGATAGATTATTATTCTCTTCTTGAGATGATTTAATTTCGTTGTATAATATAATAATTATTAATATTATCACCCCTGTTGAACTGAGATTGGAAAAATATGAATTGTTTAATGATTATGAATATGTGAATTTATTTAATAATTTTTATTTCTATTAAATTAGAAATCTTAAATATTAATTTTCGACTGCACATTTTTAGCTAGAAATAATGGAATACGCAATAGAATATGCATTAACAAGATCGTTAATTCTAATTCGATAGTTAAAAAGGAGAAGATACATCTTGAATCTAAATTATAAAATTTATTTTTCAGTAAGAAATAACTCTAAATCGGTAAATTTGCGAAATTTCCAGCACTTTCAATATAGATCATTCACTTGCATACATAAGATGGGAAATTAGTTGGGAATGATTCTCGTTAGAAAGGTTTCTGTGCTGTTGGCATATAAATTCGAGTAAAAATGTAATCTTTAATCCGTGAGGGTCCTGAGAATCTTACGCACTCGTGCGTTTACGCGCCGGCAACGAGAGTTAATCCCGCAAAGTGCGAGCAAGATGCTCTCTTTGATCTTTCCACAAAAGCCGCTACACGGCATTGACCGTGGTTTATATATGCCTGTGGTTTGTATGAGCCACTGTATTTGCTAGCTCACTCATTCATTAAATTCGTTGTATAATTAGGCTCGCTGGAACGAAGGAGGGAACAACTTCGGGGCTCGATGGTGCTTTTGCCCCATGCGTAAAACGCACTGCTCTATTTTGTCGCGCGTACTTTTTTTCGCATTCCGATCGCGCGACAGCCAGCATCTCGATGCGAGACATGAGCGATATGCGGGAAGATTATTTTCGAATTTACGTTCTAGATGTATCGAAGAATGTCACAAGAATAAATTAGTGGAATTAAAAATCATGCTTTATCTCAGCAGGAACGTGATGATCGCTGTATAAGAGCGTATGTATAAAAATATAAATAGATGTGTAACTTAAAGATTTTTTTTATATCAATCATGCTATATCTAATGCTTTTAGTCAATGCTTTTAGTTCAATACGCGAGTGGGTATCTTTCGCGGGTCTTTGTCATTAATCATTTATTCGCAGACACGATCAATAAACTCCTAGGTCCACTTGCCAGCGACCTTTCACATACAAGACACATGTGTGCGACAACAAACGGACGATAATTAGTCGATGCTTTGTCGCGAATAACTCGCGAAATGAGTATCATAAACCGGATGTATATTATCTGCGTGGATCTGTAGATCCTACATTACTACACTAATTAATATGCAAATTCAAGAAATATTTTTATAGTATTGTTATTTATTATTTAATAAAGTTAATATTATTATTTAATAAACTTTATGATTTTAAATCTTAAATTAAAATTCTATAAATAAGTAAATTTTATTTAAATTAAATAAGAATTTAATTTAAATAATTTTAATAAGAAAACATTGCTTTATTATTTACTTGACTCATTAAAATTTATTTCGCGAAGTATTTCTCTTTTTCCTGCCCCTCTTTTTTCCACTCATAATTTTAAAATTATTAATGCTTTAATATTTCCTGTTAATTGTAAGGAAAAATCAACTTTAATCAAGGAATCTCTCATATTTTAAAAGAAAATTCGGTCTTTTTGAGAAAATTGGTACATTAAAATGACATAAACTTTTTCTTCATCTTCTAATAAAATAGAGAAAATAGAGAAAAGTGGAGAAATATTCACTCTAGTCCGACTTCTTATTAAAATTTCAGATTGCGTGGCGATTTCGCAATTTTTCAAGGAAGAAACACTGAGGGTTCGATCGTTCATAAGGATGCAAGAGACAGGATCGCGTACACAGGATACAGGGATCGACGTTGACACGAGTGCGAGGAAACGATGACGACGAAGAGAAAGAGAGAAGACGAAAGAGACTGAAGAAGAGAAAGGAGGAAGATGCTACGTGTCTCCCCACCAGAGGTAGGTGGTCCACGGAACCGCCTCCGCGGACGGTCTGCCATCCGCCTGATGGTTTTGGTGCGTGTGCCAGACGTGCGTTTCGTCTCATCTCGCCTCGGCCTCTTCCACCCGTGTGGACCAACCTGTGCGGTTGAACCGTGCGGACGATTCCTTCGCCTCCCTGAGTCCATCGGGTCCATCGTCGCGTCTCTCCTCTCGGCCGATCAGTCGGCCATCGGAGTTTACCTGATTCGCCAGTACCGCTGCCCGTGCCGTTACGTCTCTCGATCTCCGTATCTATCGATGACGCGATTAGAATTGTACGAGAAACGACATACGGCGTCACAGAGTTTACACTTTCCGTTTTCGATAATCGATAACGAAAGAAAGAGAGAGAGAAAAGGATAACCAATAACTAAGATATCTCTTCCGGCAGATGAGACGTGGATTTAACTGAACTATGACACGACTCGACGATGTTGAGGTTGATCAGGACGAATCATTTTTCGTTCGATTTGATATTCCAAAATAACGTACAATTTGACCCTCGAGAGACGTCTCGCGTATACGGGATATGAGAAGAGCGTAAAATCGATATACTCGAGAACGGATCGTTCGATGAGAGACAAGTCGAGGGATTATAATCTGAAGGGTTTCGAAGAGTATACCTCTTCTCTCAACACATCGTCATCGCCGCATCGATTTCTGTTTAATATTTCCCGGAGCCGATAACGAAGAATATCTGGATGATCTACGAGTTCGTAGGAATCGGTTTAATATCGAGAAAAAAAGATCCAATGCGTATGAGGTCGACACAGGGTCGACTAAGTAGCCATAAAGAAGATTCGGCGACCTATTCGACCCGATAAATCGCGCCCTGATAACCCTCGATTAATTATCGAACCTCTCTCTTCCTGCGACGGAAATCTCTTACCGAGAATCTCTTATCTACGACAAAAAATCCACGAGATGCGTTTTATATCTCGACGAAATTTGCTATTAGATTTATCATCGATTATGTGACATTTAAGTGACATTTTCGATGTCGAAAACATGTTTTTTGAATTTGCAAATCTTTGACATCTATAATTTTCAGTTTATTGTTGTGAATATCGATCAGTGAAGAAAGTGTTTTTGTCGTGAATTTAATAGGAATAAAAATGGATATCCACCACAATAATAACGATTTGTCTTCGATGGAAAGTAAGGCCAGCTCATCGAGCAACGAACACGGTGGCAATAATTCTTTGGACGATGCTGTGGGCAAGCTGTTGCAAGGTATGCGTATGTAACTTTGGCATTTTGTATAATTAAATTTTATATAATTATATAGCATATTATGTTTCTTAGAAAAAAAATGATGAACAAAAATCAAAACAAATATTTCAAGTACTACAAAATAAGCAATAAGTTTAAAAAATAGAGGGAGCGAAATTCATATGATAATTGTGTGTTTTCAAAGAGCGACAATTTCGATCAACTATAAACAGAATCAATCATACATAGGAAATCATCTACAATCAATTATATATAGAAAATTATAATAAAAGAAAAATGAGCAGCTTTAAAAATGGCAGGCATTAGAAAATTAATACCTTCAAGATTTGTTTATGTAATCAAGTTCACACAATTTTAATTTATTATTGAGATTTTATTATTAGCTTTTACAACTATTTTATCTCGAGAAGAGGAGAGAGAGAAAGAGAGAAAAAATTATTAAAATACATTTATAAAATAATTTGCATCTCGAACACGATTTATACCGTGTCGATGAAACATTTAAATCGAAATTGGCCGTCGAAAAATATCAATTTCCCAAAATAGCACGCGCGAGACGCGCGCGTCCATTCGCTGCTCGTTCTTTTTCGTCCGTTGCCGTCTTTATCGAGTTGTTTAAGAGGGAAAGATAGGAATGGGGGGGAGGAGAGAAGGCATATACTGGTAATAGGCGCTGAAAGCCTGCGTCGTCAGCTACATTACTCTTTTCTCCATTTGGCCACTCGCAGATTTATCCGGACGATATTCGCAGGAGTAGAAAGGGGTAGAAATTCGAAGGGAGAGAAAGACGGCGAACGGATGGAGTCGGACGAGCCGGAGAAATATAGCTGAAGAGATCGTCTGGCGAGGAGAGACGATGATTCCTCCGAAGAAATTTCGAGAGCATGGCAGGTGCTGCGAACAGAGCGAGACGAGGCGTACGCGCCTGCCATCGCCACTAATTATGCTAGTACCGAATTAAATCTGAAAGATCGTCGCGCGCGCTGCGCGGAAGAAAAGGAGAAGGCGGAAGGGGGAGGGAAGGGAGCGATACGTGTGGACCGTAAGACGTGATTTATGAAGCGCATCGAGACTTAGTCTTCGAGACGACAAAGTTTCGCCAGACGTACGTCGTCGTCGGGGACCAACAGATAGACAGGTGGAAATCGCCGAGGGATGATATCTCTGTCGTACTAATTTTATCCCCACGCTTAAATATTAGACAATTGCGGCCGCGAATAATTACAAGGATTAATGAGGTCTAGTCGATGCAATGGATTACAAGGAAGAGTCGCGGATAATATCGCTCTCTTCGAATCTAGCTGGATATTTGAGCGAAATCTAGACGCAAGATGCTAGAATATCCAGCTATTAGTATAAAGGTTTAGTTTTGAATAATATGGATGTATCTGTTATCAGAAAATTCAATCTTCAACATCAAACATGGCTGTATCTGACGAAAACTAAATAAACCCTCGTTAAATATTCTCCCTTATAATTTTCACAAATTGAAATACTGAAATGTGTTTTCTTTGTGCATATAATTTCAGTAAATAAATTTCTATTATTTTGATACATCTTACATATTTTTGGCGACTTGTTTCTATTTTAAAGTTAAATTCAAAAAGTATTTATCTATATGATGCAATACACCAGGGGCGATAGCGGAGTGATGGACACTTGAATTCGTTGATGATCGAGGTTGAAAAACCGATGGCACGCGCGAGATGCTCGTAGGCTGACCACAGGAATGTATAATCCAAATGGTTTATCGCTCAAGAAGAGAGACAAGCCTGCGTCTACGTCGAGTAAATATTTACTCCAGCGGCGCTAAGCGATACGCATTTCATTACAAAATATCGACGTGATGAAAATACAGGTGACCCTTGCTATATCCATCCGATCTAAAATGAATATATCTTGTATGAATGAATATGCATACATCATTTTCTAATTTTATACGCAATTTTTTGGATAAAATTTATTTTTAAAGTTCAATTGTCAGTCTTATTTAATCAAAATTTTAATATCATCTCATTTTTTATTTAATCCGCGAACACACTTCGCTGATCTGTATTAAATATCATAATATTATTAGAATAAAGATAAATTCTCGCCCTGTATCTTTCGGTGAGTCGGAGCATCGTCGAGCACGTGGCAACGGACTACGTAATGTCAAACATCGACGGGACAAGGTGTCGAAGCGTTAAAGAGGGCCTCGTTAAAGGCCGGGGGATTCGTAACAGGCGGATTTGTAAAGGAGTTAATGTAGCAAGAGTCTCGACAGGTCGCCATTGACGGCCGGCATGCCCGAGCACACCGGTTCATTCACCAGGCCACACAACCCGCCTATTGTGACCCGGCACGGATGCGCTAACTACGGTCCTGATCTCCACTCAAAAGCCATTCACAATCCTGGAAAAATGCGCGAGTTCTCGGTCACTCGCGTGCGCCGCCAATTCACCGATTCGCTGAGTCGTTATACTCGTAATTAATCAAATCAAAATAGATAAAAGAGCAGAAAGATCAAGATTAAGCGCGATTTGGCTAACTGCAATTTATCTGATTTTATTGCTTAGTTTTCGTCAGGTACAGCCATGTTTGACGCCAAAGATTGAATTTTCTGACCGATACATCGATATTGTTCAAAACGAAACCTTTATTATACTACTAATCTTCGGTTCTCATAATTATATTATAATGTTATATTTCTAATTTTTTTGTTTTATTAGGTGAAACAAATATTTTCTCTACATATTTTTTTAGAACAATTTTATATGAAAACAAGATTTTTAATTTTTAATCATTTTTAATATAAATTTCTTTTTCGTATCAAATTATTCTAAAAAAAAATACACAAAATATTTCCTCCAGTAGTTCTACGTGTAGCTTTTTTAATTAAATCGTCTATATTGCACCATTGAATCCCAAAGAAGGGCCGACCTTGTAGACTGCTCCCTAGGAGAGGGTCCGATGCTCTTTGCATGCCTAATCGAGCACGGAGGGTCGTGTTTCGGCCGATTCGCGTGAAATTTCCTCTATTCCTGTCGCGTTCTCCGCAAAGCCCTTCCGCGTTTCCGTGTAAAATTATATTTCGACATCGTGGCTATCGGCGCAGGCGTCGACGAAGGACCTCCCCCGGCCGCTTAAAGACGCCGACACAAGTGCCGCGTCAGTGGACCATGGACCCACGGTAATTAGCTCCCACCAGCTTTCCGAACTCCGACTTGACGCTTCGTCACGTGCACCGTCCCTCCCGAGGCTTACCCCTGTCCTCCTTCCTTCCCGATTCTCCCCTTGTGCTCTGATGATCAGTGACAATTAGAAACACGAATATATATTTTTTAAGCATTTTGACTCGATGTTACGTAAGTCAAATATATTTTGATAGTAATATAGGTGGATTAAGATTTAAAATTTATGATAAGAATGAATGCACATTCTTTAGTTTTATACAGTAGATGTTTTCGATTATGAAAAATTTGAATAATTTACAATTAAAATATAAAATAAATTTATAATTAAAATAACAAGCAAAATTTTAAATATGAGTACACAAGACGACTGTTTTTCTAACTATTCTGAATATCCTAGATAATCTTTTGTCATAAAAATAAAACATATCATTGTAAAAATAGAGCATTATCTAAATTGAAGGATGAATTTATAGTACCGTCGGTGAGTTTCATCAATCTTGCAGATGGAGTACTATTAATTTTCCAAGTCTTCCTAGTTACGCATCTGCACATTTCTACCTCTTCCTCCAAATATTTCTCCCGCATTGCTCTCGAGCCAAGGAATTAAGATTTAGGAGATCGTGGTAAGAGTGCGCAGGACAGATTTACATTGGTCGGTATAACATTTGTTCAAAGGGAGACAAGGTTTTACGACACCGCGGCTTGCTCATAGAACTCTTTTCCCACGAAGTGAAATGTAGGAAAACATCCGGAGTCGAATCCTTATTAGGCGGCGCGGAATTTTCGGTGATTCGAAGCACTTACATCATTTAATGTTTCGACTCTATCACAAAAATCATTAAAAAAACGTAATTAATTATAAAAAAAACCTAATTACTTCGTAATAAATTTCAACACTATCATATCTACTGACGCTTATATATCATGTCTAATATTTCATTAAATTTTTTTTATTATGAAATATGATGACGAAAATTATAATTATACCGCAACGAAAATATTCAATACTTTAAAAATTAAAAATGACATTTTTTTTATACAAATGATTAATTTAATTCCGATCGAAAGATATATTCGACATCCAAAAAATCGACACGATTTCTTTCTCAATTTTCTTCGACCAGACAGATTAATAACTAATGTTATAATTACTTGAAAGAAATATCCGTTTTTTTCTGAGAAAACTTAAAGTTTATTTGTTTTATTGAATCCCATGAGTTATAAATTAATTTTTATAATTTATTAGATCAGATAGAGCAGTTTCCTTTTTTCTTTGATATTCATGTTGGTTTACACGCCTTAGTATTTTTCTGAAACTTTCGTACAACTATCATGAATCCTATTACTTTTACAGGATATGATTGGACGCTACTTCCGGTAACTTCGCGCGCTGGCGGACGAAGAAGCGCTCACGTGAAGCGTCCCATGAATGCTTTTATGGTGTGGGCACAGGCAGCAAGGCGAAGACTCGCCGACCAATACCCACAATTGCACAACGCTGAATTGTCAAAGACGCTGGGAAAATTGTGGAGGTAATCTAACTTCGACTAAATTAATATAATTTAATATATAGATGTGCAAACGGATGTCGAGTATTTTTTCAATCTCGAAGAAATTAAATATTGATTTATACAAGCAAAAGTCATTTAATTTTCAAAGTGTTAAATAATTGTCATTATTTCCGAAAAAAATGTTATGGTTTGCGAGTAACAATTATATCAGATAATATGAAGAAGTGTCATAAAAAAAGAAGAGATACTGATATTCAATAATCGATCTTTATATAAAATTGCCTCGTTAAAATCGCGTTCGTTCTTTTAAATATTTTTTCTTTTAAAGTGTTCGTTCTTTTAAATATTTTTTCGATCAGCAGCAATGTCGAAAATTGCGATTTGTCTGCCTTAGGATTTTGAGCGACGGCGAGAAGCAACCGTTTATCGAAGAAGCCGAGAGACTACGGAACGCGCATAAGAAGCAACATCCGCACTACAAGGTAGCTAATTAATTAATTAATTAGCAGAGATAATGGGGAGCGAGCACGTGTTCGTATGAAAACGAGGACGGAGGCGACGTAATGGCGCATCGTTTCTTAGATTTTTAATCTGAGGAACGTTTCACGCGCGTTACGAAATTACGCAAGATCGATCTCTTGATTCGCGCGGGATAGCGAAACGAATTAGCGCGTGCAATACGCATTCGTTTCAAAGCGCTCGAGTGGTTAATCGAGGCCCGATCGTCGGAGCGCGATTTAAATCCCGCCGCGCCCCGCCGCGTCGCCCTGGCGATGATTTACGAGAAGAGGAAATGGATTCTCCGATGAAGCCATCCGTGTCGCCGCTCTACACGAGTGAAAAAGTCGAGCGGCGGCGATGGGACGGCGTTAAACGAGATGCAGATCGTAGAAAAAAAGTGGAGCTTTCACCGGTTTTGTTAAAGAGCAATTTTGTGCTTGTTCAAGCTATCCACTCCTGTCGCGATATTCTATTTACGAGATCACTACGATAAGACACTGTGCTTAATCCTTGAGCGACCACATCTCCAAAACGTATAATTTTCGTAATAAAAATGATGTCTAATTTTTCTAAGTAAACAATCCTTTATATTGTTCATTTATCCTTTTTAAATGATCCTTCACTGTAGCATTGAATTTTTTATAATTCAGGAAGAGATCTACTTGATTTTTTACTTTTTAATGAGTGTGTTACCATTTATAGTATCAGCCACGTCGAAGGAAGCCAAAGTCGGACGATCAGATAGGTATCATCATGCACCGAGGTGGGCTTGCATCGCCGGGAACCTCCCTCGAGTCCTCGGCCGGTTCCTCGGACTGCACCTACACCCGTCTGTATCCGGATGCTGGCGTGAAAGCGTACGAACGACCGACAACCTATCATGACCCGGCTAAATCCAGCGCCTACGACCTGGCCAGACCGGTCTGGGTCAACGAAACAGTCGCCAAGTATCCCCCTGCCGAACATCTCAAGTCGACGTATGAGACGACGTCGAGGAGCTACGCCGAGGTAAAATGTCACGAGGTCGCTAAGTATCATCACGAAATGACCGGCACCAAGTATCATCATCATCATCACGAGTCAGCGGTTACCACCAAGTATCCGGACCTGCAGGCCAAATCTTACGACTTGCCCAAATATCCGGAGGCTAAAGGATATCCGGATGGTCTCAAGTATCCCGAGATGAGCGGCGCCGCCGCAGCTGCCGTTAAAGCACCTTATGCTTGTGTACATGGACAATATTATCCTACCGCGGAGGGATATACCGTCCACGAGGAAAATGATTATCAGCCCCAGACCGTATCGTCGCATCCCTCCTTTTATCCCTACATATCGGCGGCATCCATGACGCAACCGCCTTACTACATGGGACCGCGATAGATCGCGAACCTATTGAAGTTAATGTGATGTAAGACTATTCTTACAGTCGAAAAGCTGGACTTTCTCTTCGCGCGCGGCGCGTATATTAATATTAAATAATTACCAGTCCAAGAGAAAGCTACTAATATAATTTACGGACGTACATGGAGATCAATGGGACAATGTTTCTGTAAAAACAAGACCGCGTCATTTCTCGGTCTATGAATTATGAGACGAATTATTCCCACTTGAATATCGATATAACGCATGTGGATATTGTCAATTTGATAAACTTTGAACGTAGACTATCATTCATTAGTGATCAAAGATTTAAATCAATCGGAAGATTTGTGTGCATAATCAAAATTCTGTAAAGTATTTAAATGATAGCGAGTGTATTGTACTTAATGATGAAATTGATAAATTTATTTTATAAAATGAGATATATATCCGATTGCTTTGTAATATTTTTTATTTATTTTTCTTTATAAATCTTGTGACGATGCAAATAAATCAGATGTATTATCTTCCTGCTTTGAGATTTAACATGTAACATTTATATTCTTCGAGATTACCTGCAATTATATAAAACAAAACAAAAGAAAAATGAAAAGCTCTAAGATTTTACACAGAATTTACAAGAGATTCATAAAAAAAATGATATGAAGTATTAAATTGTGTATCTTGTTTTATAATATATTATTTACTATTTATTATATTGCTAAAAAATTAAATCGTGAATTAAAAACACGAAAAAAACGCGAATATAATTATCACAAACGTAATTACCTATACGAAGAAACAAAACTAGTATATCATACTCATCGAGACGGCAAGTAGCAGTGAAGTAATATCTATAATATACATGCTACGAGTGAGACAATTGCTAGGCTAACTACATAATTAACCGAACCAGCGGCAAGTCATTGAAATATAATAAATATTAGATACTGTATACAACATACTTCTACAGCCAGGTACTTTTCCATGGCGCGACGATGACTTTTTAATCATTGTCTAAATTAGTATCACGATCAATGATAGCTGCCAATTCCTTCACTTGATCTCGATTCGCGTGCATAAACGCTTTCGCGGTCCAGATCATATGCGCCAGAATCTCGTCGCTCTTCTCATCCATGGCTACATCCTCCGTTAATTGTGGATTGAATCTGTAATATGGTATACCAATCATAGAACACCAAGTACGAGCGCGATCGACTACCCGACCATCGCTGGCTGTCGCTTGATCGACCAATAGCGTTCCCAGTGCTGAGATACCGAACGCAAGTTTGGCGGTATCCCAGAGACTCTCAGGTCGGAAAACATCGATTTCGTTCAGCGTAACAGTAGTCGGCATAAGTCCCGTGCCGATGGAAACCACCAGGGACAACGGTATCGCCTCTTTCTCGCGACCGGTGGCCTTCAGCGCCAGATTATATTCGTGAATTTCCGTCATGGCATCTAAGGTGGGATTATTGGCAATCAAACCGCCGTCCAGAAATCGGCCGAATGCTCGAAAGTATGATGGCGCCGCGCCGGTCGCCCTTGCTGCCTTCCAGAGAAGTTGTTCCCGCGACGATAATGTTGTCTTGAACATCGTATTTCCCGGCACTTTCAATAGGGCACTGGGTGACTCGTAGTTACGGAACAAATGAAGATCCACGGGCTTCCGATCGGCGAGCACACCCGTGATCATTATTTTAGGTTTATCGATATCTGCCATAACTGTATACGTACCGAGGCATTCTTTCAGCACCTTCTCGAGACCTTCGCTGTTGTAGGGTCGCGAGCCTACGAAGGCATCTTCTTTAATACGGAAATAAAGTGCCTGGCATTCCCGTAAGGACTTGCCTGCGGCCAGACCGAGTGCCAAGATGCCGCCAGTAGAGGTGCCAGCGATCCAATCGAAGCAGTGTACTACCGGTTTCCGCAGCACTGATTCGATTTCCAACAGTGTCTGTATGAGCACTAGTCCACGAATACCGCCGCCGTCGAGACAGAGTAGCCTGCCACCTTTGATTCGCTTATCACGTCCTTGCTCAGCCATTTTCTCCATGCTTGATACATGAAGCATTTGATCGAGAATTGTACGCGGCACATATCGCGGAGGTTCCGATGGCGCGATACCCGTATAATTTTCACCGTATTTGCAACCAAGATGGCAGCCCGTCATTTCTGCCGGGCATTTCTCTGCGCCCACTGCATGCAGCAAATAGATTATCTTGTTGCCTTCAGTGGTATCGATGTTTGCCTTGTGTCTGGGTGTTTCCGACTTCCAATTCCGCGCGTCGATATCGGCGCCAAAACCAATGAGCGTCTGTACGATAGCCAGAGTCTCCGCCTCGACGGCAAGATGTAGCGGTGTGTTGCCATCGTTGTCAACAATGTTAACGGATGCCATATGGCTTAACAAGGCGACTACACAAGGGAGTCGTTTGCGCATCACCATCACGTGCAACGCGGTGCGCCCTTCAAAGTTGAGAGCATCGATATCACAGTTAGTATCGATCAACGCTGTGATCACCTCTCGACTGCGTGACCAATGTAATGGCGTACCTCCAAACTTCATATCCTCCGCGTGAAGCACGTTTGGTTTGTTATGCAAAAAATCGCCAACGTAGCCAGGACTCGAGGGCTGGCCCTCAGTAGCGGGTATATTCACGTCGGCGCCAATCAGCAAGAGCGCTTTGACACACTCGGGCTTGTCATTTTGACACGCGACATGAATGGGAGTGTGACCGTTGCTGTTACGGCTGTTTAAACTGTTTGGAAGACCCGAACCCAGAGCAAGAATGATCTCTTTGGTAGATGTAGCAGCGTAATGGTAGACCGTATTCGCATTGTGGTCTAGGTGTTCTAGCGAACTTTTGGATGCTATTAACAATTCGACGGTGCGCAAATTGTTGGTCTGTATGGCGACTTGTAAAGGAGAAATTCCAGTCTCCAAATCACCACTGTTGAGCTGACTATTAACAGCGGCGTGCATAAAAGCATCGTGAAGTGCAAAGTAGGCCGCTAGATGCGCCAGAGTCCAAGCCGGATGTTCCACCAAAGTGTCGCAGAGCTTTTGAATTTTTCCAACATTGCATATCTTAAATGAGATGATAAATCGATATATAATAATTAAATTTATTCTAATTTATATATAAAAGATACCAGAGAGAGATATATTGAAAATAAAACCTATTTCTGTTTAGAGTTAAACAAATTTATTTTTACAAATATGTTTAAAATAAAAAAAAAATACTACCTCACGTGCTATCTGCACGAGCACAGGGACTTTGTCTTTATATATTAAGAATCGTGCATCCGCTTCTTCCAGAGTTTCTGATCGGAATAAACTGAAAACAAAACCATTTAAAACAATGTTTAAAAAATATTCAAAGTTCAAAGTTAATTATTAATATTAATAAGAAAATAATGTAACAGAAAGTTAATTATACATGTTGAAAAATGCAGAGATATTATTATCTACAGACAAATGTGTATATAAATATCATATATTATTAAAAAGTAAAAAAAAATTATAATTTAACATATATATATATATATATATATATATATATATATATATAAAATCATATAACGGTTTTTTTATAATTTAATTATATTATTTTTTTATATTATTTTTTTAAATTTAATTATATAGATACCCATTTTAACATTTATTTTTGGTTATTACGTTGAAAAACATTCTTTTGGGAAATTGAGAACTTTGAGAGATTTTGAAATGTTTGCTAAATGGCAATATTAAGGAAATTTAAAGATCAAATGTATCTTTTTAAATAAAATGAATACTTTTCTGTACCTAATTATTTTTATAGATATCCATCTCGTTTATCAATAATTGGCGTAAGGGTAAGAGGCTGACCAGCAATGTATTTATTTAACAATTCAAATAATGAAGTGTTAAATGACTACAATAGCCTATGAAGTAGTAATAAAATTTTAGTAATTTATTTTTTTTGTTTCCTCTCCTCTCTGTATCTCTTTTGTTAGCAAGGTTTATTGCAGAATAATATGAATTAAAAGTGCATATCTCAGAGACACTATTGGATATAAGTATTCTAATATTTCTTTTAGTATATTCAATTCTCTATCAAATTTTATATTAAAAAAAAGAAAAGATAGTTATTTCATTTTAAAAAGTGCATTTAACTTTCAAATTTGTCTCGACAATTCCAGTTAGCAAACTTTTTCTCACCAATATTTGCCTCAAAATCTTTCAGCCCTCTAAAAGAATGTTTTTTAATTCAATGTAGTTTCTGAAATATAAAGATTTATAAATACAGAAGTGGGTCGCTCTGCATATATTTTATACTAACAAAATAATGATGACGATGACAAGATGTACCTGTACGCCTGATGCAAAGTCTCCGTGCAAGGTCTATGTAACACAATTTCGTATTTATCTTGATTTTTTATTTCACCAGGCCCATAGAGAACGATGCCATCCTCACGGGAATGTATGCGTCGATTACTGTACTGTTCCGGTCGAACCTCTTGAACGACATTCGGCGGGACATCCGAGAAGACGATGTTTCGCAGTACATTGTTCGCAATGGTACCAAGCCATGCCATGGTGCTGATTTTGCGATGAGTAACGATGTTTTGCGGTAATGGAACAATGAGACCCGAAGCCTCTATCGTGAGAAAGTATTACGCAATTATACGTTATTCATTGTATCGAAAAAAAGCGATATTATAAATATGTATCTTGTACTATGTACCTTGCTCCTTTATTTACCCGGCTCACACATCGATAGATTTGACATTTATCTAACTCTAGTCTAAATTCTAGATCGACCATGAAGACCTCATACGATGAAAACGCAAAGCTTTGCAATCAGGGTTGCCAATGTTGAGGAATAAATTTTCCATTTCTACGTACGCTGCCATCACATATACACTGGACTGAGCATCGCGATAGACAGGCGAGCGCCTGCTGAGAGAGATACTACATGAGAGGTCTATGCCCATCGAGGCGGGAAACAAAATTACCAATGAGATATTAGCAAAAGAAACAGACATACAGAAGTAAAAGTTTAGTTTTGATTTTATTCAATGTTTATATTTTATAGATAAGCGAGCTCTTTAAAGACCTTCGATGCTGGAGACTCGACGAAAACGAGAGAGAGAACGAGTAAGGAACAAGCGAGATGGCCAACATCAAAGAGAGTTCCGAAGTCTCGTTGCGAGCTTTTTTTTATTTCCTTCTTTCGCGTATCCTATTTCATCTTACCACAGAAAATAAAATTTTTACATTTCGCATTTTATCAATTTAAAAATAATTTTAATGGATTAATGAGATTTTTACGATTAAAATGACACCACACATGACATAAATCGGATTATTTTTAATTAATATATATGGTTAATCTAGTTAAAAATAATCCGATTTATGTCGTGCTTAATGTTATTTTAATCGCAAATATCTTATTAATCCAATAAAATTATTTTTAAATCAATAAAATATGACATATATATATAAAGGTGATCCGATTTAGAAAGAATGCCCCATATATATACATATATATTATATATTTGTCATATTTTATTGATACATATACATATACATATACATATATAAGTGTGTTTTATAAAACGACCGTATGTTCGTGCTAGATCCATTAATTATTGTAAATCTCACAATCAAAGAGTACGAAACATTATTGCGTATGATCTTTTTTCATTTTAATAGTATTTATTATTGGGGTAATATACACATATTTATTTTATTAAAATAATATTCAATAAAAATAATTAAAATAAAATTCAATAAAATACTTTTATTGAAATTACTAAAACATTTTTTATGTGAAATAAAATAAAAGCATTTTAATTCTATATTATATATATATATGTGTGTGTGTGTGTGTGTGTGTGTGTGTGTGTGTATACACGTATATATTACTTCATAATATATGCTAAAGTGAAAAAAGATCACGCGCAGTTAATGATATGTAATAAAACATTAATAAATGTATGATATGTTTCGTACTTTTGAGATCCACAATTATGGATCTAGCATGGACTCGATCGATCGTTTTACCGTGGCACTGGAAAGTGGATCTGGCCACGTAGTTCCGCCGGCCGTAAAATGAATCGAGTTAGCGCCACTGTACGACGGGGAAAAAGCGTTCCGTGAAAAACGGCCGTAGGACCACTCTCAGGCTTCTCTCTGACCATAACATCTCTCAGTCTTCTCTCTGCTACAAATTTATCTTTATCTCTGTCATGAACATATTAAAAAAAATTCAAATTATACATTTATAAAATTATAGTTTTTATAAAATTGTTAGTTGCAAATACTAGATTAAAATTCTGGTAAATTATATATATCTTTCTCTTTTATAGTTAAATCTATTTTTAATGAAAAAATATTACAATATATTACAATAATTTTTTTTAATAAGTATTACATATTTTGCGACAAGAAAAAGTCTATTATACAAATCTGTTATATCGATAGTTTAATGGTCGATTGAATAATAATGCGGGAAGTAACAATCAGACCCGCGTCTTAACATTTTCTTTTTTATTAAAGATATAAGAGAAACTCTTATATCACACAATATCATGTGATAATTATATATATTTAAAATCAAATTTGGATTAATTTATTCAACATCTCGCAGTCGCGTAATTTTGTCTCTTAAATTTCATCTAAAAAATCTACTTCATTCCTTAAATTTAATCTAAACTGACTCTATTTAAACTAAAATTTTTAAAGAATCTGTTTGATAACAAATTATACTAAAATTATTTGTATTAAAATATAACGCGATGTATACAGGATGTCTAATATGAGTATGATTTAATTCTGTTCTTAAATAAAGCCTCTTCATATATTAGCGATTTTTATACATATGTATACATATATAACTTAAAGTATAGAATTATTTACTCATTACTATTATATAACACAAAACATGTGTAATTATTAGTAATCAACATAATAGTATTTAAATATACATGTGTATATACATGTGTAATTATTAGTAATCAACATAATAGTTTCTAAATTATAAAAAGAATTATAAATTGATCATTTTTGTTGCAATTTTAAAAAAATATCAAATTCTCCTTTCATCATATTAAGAGCAATTCTAATATATTGTGTTGCATACTAAATTCACAGCCTATATACATTACTTCTTTGTCTTTATGTACAACTTTCGATTTGATTGTTTGCAAAGAACAATTGCAAATGTATTTTTCTTTTTTTTTTTTTCATAATCAGTATTGTACGATTTTTAAGCGAAACCGCTTAGAGATCTATTACTGCAATAACAAAATCCGACGAATCTTTCCATCATCAATACTGTTAAATTTGTTGATGAATATTTTTCTGATGAATTCCTTGTTTTTGCTCTTCGCAAAAACATTTGTTAACATCGCTTTTTGGAAAATTGCTTCTTGTTAATGCATACATCACTGAAGTGTTTGTGAATTGCTAAGCGGTTCATATCCCTGTAATAAGCAGTTTATATATTAGTGGCTGCGACTAGTATAAATTTTTTTTTTATAAAAAGTGAAAAAAATTCTATAACAGAAGAACTTTTCATAGCCGTTTTAATCTAAACTTTTTTCAATTTAGTTAAGTTAAATCTGAAATAAAAAAGTGAATAAATTAATTGGAAATAATGAAAAAAATAAATTAATTGAAAATAATAAAAAAATAAATTGAAAAAACAAAGCAAACATAAATAGATCATACTGCATTGGAAAATAATGGAAAGATTAGACGGCAATAGAGAAGTCACATAATTTGCACAATTTTTCATTGATTCATGCTGCCATAATAACGTATATTTGGCCGTTCACTTCCAGGTCTTACAGTGTTATTAAATGAGTCGCGTAAACGTTCTGTAAACGTTTTGTATTCCATTTCTGGATTACTTTGCCCAAAATCGAAGTTCGCAACTTCTACTGTAAATCTTGCTCTGCTCTGAATATAATATGCTACACCAAATACTATCAGCACCACAGCAACGAGCGAACAAGTGACTGGTACTACGATAACCGACAATTGTGGTTTTGTTGTAACTATAAAAACATTATATTATTGTGCGATTGTCAGTGAATTAAGAGAGGATCCTTAACAGATACTTTTTTTTTTATAAGAATTTACCTTTATAAATGTTTATTGTCAATGGATAAATATGTGCACCAATTTCATTGTTCAATATAATCAATATTGTGTACACACTGGGCTCAAGGAAATAATGAAGAATGGAGAAATTGCAAGAATGCAAGTGTTCCACATTGCTGCATGTCTCATTTCCTGTTACATTATATTTTCCATGGTGGAATTGAAGACACTTAGAAAAGGGTCCTGACCCCTTGCAAGTTACATTCAGAGACAGCATATCCCATGGTTGGATCCAGTTTGTACCTTCCACTGAGATGTTTGATATAGGAACTAAAGATATTCATTAAGAATGAAAAGAGTTATAAATTATATTAAGATTAATTTATACATATAAATTTGCATACAATCAAAAATAATCTTTTTTAAAATATCAATTATATATTTTACTAACCACGAACGTAGATTTTCTTGTGGAAGTAGCCATATATTTTTTTAGGATCCGGTGGAATGAAAGAAATGTTTGAACAAACATAAGGAAAAGATATATTGGTAGCATCTGTCATGCTTACAGTGATTGGAGATGCAATTATTGCAGGGTTTGCACTCGCGATAGTTGTTGGCAACATAGTTGTAGTTACAGCTGTAACATGAGTTCCATTTAAACTTGCTGTAGTAATATTCGGCGGGACTGTTGTCACATTAGTGGCTGTAGTCGTAGTTGGTGGCAAAATGGTTGTTGTCGTTGGTGGATTGTCCGAAGCAATTACCAAAGCTTCTATTTCATGCGTTGTCCCAGGATTTGTAAAATTGTAAGCAAAGGTAAAATCATTTGTTTGGCCATAATACTGGCAATCGATAAACCAAAATGTTGATATTGTCATTGCCTTCTGTATTATAAAGTCATAATCTTCTTTATGTATATCTGCTATTAGTTTTGCTTCGTTTATCGAAGAGATATAATCCCTCATTATGGTTTTATTATTTTGTTTTATAGTCATATTACCATTCAGATATTCTAAAATTAAAACAATTAATAAATATAAGAAATGATATATGAATAAGAAAAAGTAGCGAAAGAAAGTGTTTTAATAAAGTTTACCAGTAATCTCAAAATCAATAGAATCACTTGTAACAAAGATCCAGATTGGAAACAACTTATGAATCTTGTTATAGACTTGTAAAGTCATCTTGTAATTTCCAGAAGTGTTATTTTCCCGTGGATAACTTGTATTCCAAAATACTGTTCTATTTAGTGTTATAATCTGCAAGATAATAATATATGAAATTGATAATAACACTTGTAGTAAAAACAACAGGAAAGTATTGATTTAATATCAAATATAGATAAAAGAGAAGTAAATAAGTATATAACCAGAAGAAACACTCATTAAAATCCAATCAGTTGTTAATAAATAAATTAATTTGAATACTCAAAGTTTTAAACAACAGCTTAGTTACTGTATCAAAAATATACGACAAATATATAATAATTTTCCAATGATCATAAAACATCATAATTTTCTAACCATATATGTATTCTTTAACGAGTCGGACCAAACGTATTTGTATTGTTTCTGTGGAAACCAACTTTGCTCTGTGTACAAATCTGCTCTGAAAGTGATGTTAGCACCCAAAACAGTTGGTCCATCATATGACAGTTTGACATAGTCGGTGGCAGTAACTGCAAAATGATTAAACATGAAGCAATATGTATCATTTGTCACAATGGGCGTTTTTCAGCAACACAGAGGTCACAATCAATCATTTCATCCTTGTTTACACTCAGCAACCAACAAGGATGAAGTAATTCTGTGTTACATGTCAATTGTGTCCTTTGTTAAAAAATACCTAGTATCTGCAAAGATAAGCAAGAAACGCGCTACGGGCGTATCAGTAAAGCATGTAAAGAATAAAAAAACTATCGTATCAATGTAATGATATGACACGCAACGTGACAGAAAGTAACATTCTTTGAGCAACGTTTAATTTGTCACGAATTATTACCTTGTAAGAAACACCATACACCCCAAATAAATTGGCAATAGAAATACGCTGTTTGCATTCTGTACGTTATTAATAGAACGCGTCACATTCGCAATTATTTTTAAATTACTTTAACATTCATCGAGAGCACTGACAATAATTCTTGACGGTTTCTTACTGACTGATTCACCATTTTGATATATTACAGTGCGCTCCACTTGACGCTATTTTCGCTTCGAAGTACAAAATTCTCCACAGAATAATCCATTTAGCTCTTCAAATAGAATACACATCTACCAACGATCAATAAATATGCGATTTGTAATGCCAACTGAATATTGGAACAATCGGTAATATATTTCCTAAACAATGATTTTATCTAAAGTAGGTAATAAATGATTATGCTTTTATCTACACAAAACAGCAGTTCAATAACAGCTGTTCACTGTAGGAGCTGATACAACGTATTCATCATATGTATCAGCTCATCAGCTGTGATCAGCTGATACAGCTGATACGTGTAATGAGTACGTGACATGCGATATACCTGTTGGAAATAAAGTATCTTAAAGTTTAATTTATTTTTCATTAAAATCTAATTTAAAATTATAATTACTCTTCGTTTCATTAATATAAAAGAATAGTTTAATTAAAACTTGAAAAGGATTTCGTGTTTATATTTTTTATAGAAAATTAATTGACGCTATAGATATACAGTTGCAAACCAACTAAACTTCATAAAAGATTACAATGTTGGGAAAACTTTTCTCCGAGTTTCTACCGATTACTCGACATTATGGGCTCACGACAAAAATACATTTTGCTAATATATCGAAGCGGAATGTTGAATATAGAAGATCATCAACTTCATTACATGTCAAAACAAATAGCACATTGCCTGTGGATGAAGAACTGCAGGAAATTTTTAAACTCAAAAGTATCAAAATCAGTAACTGGATTATAGAGGTTGCTGTAATTTTTAATTTTATGATATAAAATGCAATTTTTTCTATCAAAAATTTTTACATAAAAAATATTTACAGAACAAGGTACGTGCATTATGTGTCAGATATACTGAGAGCAACAGAGAGAATCGCCAGCGGATTTTACGCACATTGGCTTTACAATATGCTGTCCAACATAATGATATAAGTCAAGTGGCAAAAAAGTTAGTTTGTACCGAGGTATATTATTGTATGTGATAGTCAATTTTAATCGAATTATATTCAAGATACATTAAATCTTATTTCAAGTTGTGATATAATATATTGATATGAATGTATTTAGCACGTTTCTTTCATATAGTAATATTTTGCGAAATGTATCTATATATAGATTTATCATACATAAACATAAATATCTAGAAAAAAATACATAAATATCTTAGAAAATATAGTTGCAAGATGATAGTATTTTAATTTTGTTTTAGCCTGAAAATGAGAGGCAAATGATTACTCATGAAAGAACTTTGAAGAATGTTCTTACGCCTGCTTATCATTGGTTATTTTTTATCATAGGAAGATTGCAGCATGGTGTAAAATTTTTAGTCGATTTAAGGACTGATGTGCTGGTAAATAGATATTAAAATATAATTTATATTATAAATTGCGAGTAGCGTTACATTCTTCTTATAAAGTATAAAAATCTTTATCATATCAAGCTAGATTTTTATTTCCATTGAGATACTTTTATTAGGAACTAATGTCAGAAGCAAAAGATACAGATGAAAGTATAATAATACAACAGCTAAATCATACTTTGCGAGATTTGCTTTTGCTCTGGTTTTCAATAGGTTTCTTACATATGGAGAGAATAACTTGGGAAAGTGCATGTGATATATTGCAAAAGGTAACAATAACTCCTATTTTATATTTCATTTATTTTCAATTTTTATTTCTGATTTTTTATTTTCAAATCTTAAAAGGTTTCTGATTATGAAGCCATACATCCTATAAGAAACTGGTTGGATTTGAAACGCAGAGTTGGACCATATAGAAGATGTTACATATTTACACATCCATCCATGCCAAGAGAACCCATTGTTGTATTGCATACAGCATTATGTGATATTATACCAGGTTAAATATACAAGGAAATTTGTTTTTCAATTTTTAATTGAAGTCATTTTACAAAAAAGAATAGTGTAGCTGGTAATCTTAATGTATCTTTGATTTACAGATTCTGTAAAGGGTATTGAGGAAGCTGAATCTAGAATCCTAGGAAATGCAAAAAAACATATAACATTTTTAGAAGAAGATAAATCAAAAATAAAAGCAGCAATATTTTATTCTATAGCATCTACACAGAAAGGATTGCAGGTAATTAGTAATAAAAATTTCATTTGATTTAGAATATCACAAATTTAAAAAAAATTATATATATGTATACACACACATGTGTTATATAATAATTTTGTATATACTATATAGATAAAGTTACATGTAGCTATAAAGAAATATTTTTTGTAGGGCATTGAGCTTGGTAATTATCTAATAAAAGAGGTAGCTATCGGGATTACAACTGAATTTCCAGCTGTGCACCAATTATCAAGCTTATCACCAATACCAAATTTTACAATATGGTTATTCGATAAAATAAAACAAGGTAAATTATTTAAAAAAATAAAAATAAAAGTAATATGTTAATATATTTGTCTCACAGATATAACATTCATATTTACCATGCAAGAATATGAAATTATAAAAGATATGTTAAAAACAAAAGATGTGGTATTAGCCCTGAAAAAGATTCTGAGGACTTCATTATGGACAAATGATAAGCAATTATCAGAATTTTTAAAAGAACCATTACTTCGAGCATGTACATGGTATTTATATAAGGAAAAACGACGTGGCTATGCTTTAAATAATGTTGGTATGTGTTGCTCTTTTTTTCCTTTCATAATCAATCATAAAACAAATTATATATATAGATATTCCTAAAATAAAGTATTGTAAATAATAAATGATTAAAAAATATTTTATGAAAAAATATAATTTTTTTTTAATAATTTGTATACGTTTATGCAGCTAATTTTCATTTGCGTAATGGAGCTGTGATGTGGCGAATAAACTGGATGGCTGATCCTTCGCCGCGTGGAGTAGCAAATAGCTGTAGCTTAATGGTTAATTATAGGTATACATTTGAAAATCGATTTTATTTTCTAAAAAAAATTAAAAGTAATTTCATTATATATTGCTTTTTCTCTTTAGATATTTCCTAGAAGAATGTGAGAAAAACAGTCGAAATTACATTGAACACTTTGTCATAAATGCTTCGGAAAATATAATTAATATTGCCGCACAAGCGGAAAAATTAAGAGTTACTTATAATACAAATTATGATATAATGTGACAGGATCATGAAGAAATACAACAAATGTCTACAAGCATGTCTAGGAGCAGAAGAACGATGTGGCAAGATATTGATGATGATAATGAATTGATTATAATTGTTATGGAGGTGAAGGTGCTTAAGTTATTGATAAAAAAATTTTCTTTATTACTCTTCAAATTTTATGTTTTTATTAAAGATTATTAAATTTGTTCATTTATACAATAGCTGATTCGTTTCCAGCTTAAAGACAGCACAATGGTCTGCAGACAAGTCTAGAACAAATAATATATAATTTTGATTATTATTTTGGAAATTATCTCTATTTTTTTTAAGAGTATGGGAAGATAATTGCAAAGTGCCATAGTATTGATACAATATTAAAAGCATTAATTTTACACATATATATAATTTCTTCTCTGGTATTTCTATTAATAATTGTATACATTTTCTAAATTTATACATATATTTATATATAAATAAAGAAAATTAAGTACATACCTGTAGTCAAGGCTGAGTTTGGTGAAAGTTCGCGGGAAGATGAGGTCTACTTTCTAGTTTTGTGTAATCCAAATGGAATTCCTTAGCTACCTTTCTCCAGTTTTGCGCATCAAAATAATAATAAGTACCACGTTCATATGTCGACGTCTTTTCTACAATTCCCAAACCTGGTGCCTGTGTTATCCAAACTTTTTCTTCCATATGATATCGCCATTCTCTGCTGTACCTTTGTATCACACATACAGAATTATATGAATATCATATGAATATCATATTTGCGAAAATATATTTCTTAGCATGAAAATCAATCATACTTACAATTCTGCTGCCGCGGCTAATTGCAATACATCCCCAACATTTGTATAAAACATATAAAACAGTAGATCATCTTTATACCGATTTAGTTTAACTGGTGCTAGTTTATCCCTGAAACAAGAAAAAAAAGTTAATATTTGTTGGTAAAATAATTATTTATCTTAATGTAAAAGTGTCAACATTATATCCATTTTATTTTTGTTTTCTTTAAATTTCAAGTACCATTGTACCAATATCATATCATCTAGTGTTCATATTTCAAGTATCAATATAATTTCCATCTATCTTTTAGATTAATATCTTTAGTTCTCAACATCTCAAGTATTTCTTTGATATATGTAGTTAATAGATATTTTTATATTGTTTTTATTATATGATATAGTGCAGATTGGACAATAATATGGAATAATGTATTGAAATGCATAATAAATCAATCAATACCTGATCGCGGCATTTATAAGATATTCTGGTGGTACATGAAAATCTATATCTTGTGGTCTACAAGGTGTTTCCGCCCAGGGACCACCAAAGTTCTGATAAAGATTTTCCGGCGAATTCAAATTCAATCCTAACGCTGTAAGATCTTGACCTAACGCCAGTGACACTAGGTTTGGATCCGTCTCCGCCGCTCTAATAAACGTCAAGAGTCCAACCATACCGAATTGATCCTTCACCATACTTGCGGGTATGTTTGTCACCTTACCTGCATGCAACAATTATAAGATAAACGTTAAAAACTTAGTTAAGTAATCGTGCATCTTTCGTTCAAAATACGGATCTAATGAAACTTTAGTTACCGTCGGGCGATGTTTGAATGCCTCTTTTAGAAGACTGAGATTTTTCAGATCCTGGAGCTCTGTTGGCCTGTAGTACGTCCTGTCCGATCTCCGGACCGAGTCCTACAGGTATATTTTTATCACCAGACACACTACCACCAGGTGATGGGCCTTCTCGATTCTGCGTACCTGGTAATGCAGGAAAATCTTCCGAGCTCATAGTAAATTCGCTCGATTCGGATGTCGGCTGCTTGACCATCCCAACTGTAACATATAATTACATTGAATGACAATTACATTAGCATAAACTACTTATATCTATGCTAAACATATATGTAAATTTCATATGTACACATGAATAATGCTTTATATTATTCTGAAATTTCAATATCTCAATACCGAGAGCGGTAATATTATTTCAAAATGGAAAATACAATAAGCTTTTATAAAGTCACATGAAAGTCTTTCTACTTGCAAAAAGAAAAGAAGATTAATATTCAAATCCGTAGATGCATTATAATATTATAAATAATTGACAATGAAAATATATCTGCTCTTGCATGTTTGCATTCTTTTGACACTAACCATAAGGCTGTTTCCCTGGCATGGGACTAGGTTGCGGCATAGAATCACCTTGACCTCTATTCGTTAGGGAGGGAAACTCCGAGAGATCTAACAAAGGGGGAGTATTTGTATCTCCACCGCCTCCACTCCCGAAAACAGAGTGGAAATTGTTAACCGCACCTTGAGATCCGTAATTACGACTTGGAGGTATTCCGAAACTGCCCATACTACCCATTGGATTTGAAGCTCTGCAATATAGATGGAAATGATTGCAGAGACAGAAAGAAAAAAGCAAAAGAGAAGAAGCTATGGGCCTTACATTATTACATTCGATTATCTAATTCACTCCCGATGACGCGATATCAAAGATGCAGAATCTTATCATAACGAATATCATAATGAAGAAGAGAACTAACCCAAGAGCAGGCATCGTACGTCTATCGGTAAAAGCTCTCTGCCCAAACAGTCCTCTACTGCCCATAGGAGAGAGTTGCTGCTGTTGTTGATGGCTGTTCTGTCCGCCGCCAGAGCCCGATGCTCCGGGATAAACGTTAGTGGCAACTACCGCTGAATTGGCTGTACTCGAGGTGCTTGCAGATGAACCTGAGAACATGCCCGAGGTAGGCGTGACATGACCCGTGAGGGTCGATGTATTTAAACCCCCCCCACCGCCTGTTGCGCGTGAACTGAGACTTGCGTTCGCAATACTGCGTGGTGGTTGTTCAAAGTTCAAATTGGCCATAGCCCGATGGCACCACAGTTAATGAAAATGTTTTTGCCTGAAAATAGGCACACCAAGCACTCCTGTTTTGCAAAACTTGGTTAGCACATCCACTTCTTTTTTTCTAATACAACACTCAAAGACACTTTGATTTCATGGGATCGCCGATGATCCATGACAAAAATTTGTGATCTGAAACAAAGGAGATCACAAGTTATTTTCCATTGATCGAGCTGCTATCAAAATATACATTATTATTTTACCTCCTTCTCCTATCACAGCCTCTCAGTAATAGTTATATTCAAATGCAGCACAGAGATGAGAATATACACATCTGTAATAACAAACAATATTATTAACACTTTTATATATATATAAAGTATAGCAATTTATATATACATATACGCTACCTATACCTAACAAAATTAAATATGTATCTATGATTCAAAATTCTACAAGTTGTATATAATAATTCAAATTAATCACTCTGCCTATCAGATATATGTTAATTCTATTATAAACAGAATTTTGTAAACTCATTATACTGCAATAAGTACAGTAAATAATGTATGTCACTTTATGTTAAATAAAATTTATACTTTAACAAGAATCAAGAACAAGACACATGTATAAAAAAAAAACTGACGAAAAATCTCATTTTAAATTCTAAAATTTTGACATACATTTAACAATGCCAAATCTAATTCTATCTTATGTTTTTTACAGCACATTAAAAAAAATCGTAGGATTCATAAGTCTATAATATCACAGCTGTATATATGAATTTTATCTTTCATTAATGTCAATTCTATCTTGTAAAGAGATCATGTACGATAATAGTGGCTTGGCATACTCGTTTTCCGCGCATTTCCCTCAAAAACTGCGAGAGAGATAGAGAGAGACACCTAAGGTCCGTCCGCGAATAAAAGCGCGAATCGTCGCGCGTAGTAGTAAGTAAACACGGACTGATCAACGATATTGTTGACACTATCGGAACGGATAGAGACAGGCACAAAAGGGACAAAAGGTTATAAAGTGGTGTGCGAAACGTCAAAAAGCAGCGTAAGGAAAAAGTGCGGCGCGCCGCGACACTACCTGGGACGGGACAGCCACCAGCTGCGTATCACGACGCGACGAGTCCCATCGTGCTCGCGACGAACGGACGAGGTGGACGAGTGTTTAAAAAAAAAGAAAAAAAAAAAGAAAAAATACACACACGCGAAAACGTCGTCGAGATGTTGACTCTCGGTCGCGAGGTTCTGGCGGTGGCGGTGGTGGCGACGATCGGTGGACTCTCGGCGAGGGGTCTTCGCGCGACTCGGAGAACACAAACTGGCCGAAACTGTCACTTTGTCGCGCGCGCGTTAAAGTGCGAACACACACGTGGACATCGGGGCACGCGGCGATCGGGATTTCATACACATCACAGTGCCCTTCAGTTAACAGGACCTACTGTTTTGTCACTCGTAGTTTCACGAACTTAAACAACACTAGAGGCACGAACGTCTGCCATGTTAACAATTTCTACGTCGCTACTCGAACGAACGACCCGAGACGCGCGTCGAGTTGATCGATGGATCTCGTACGCGGCTGACATCGCGCGTAACAAATCCCTCGAGGATATTTTCACCTCGTGTATGCTTTCGCATCGTTAAAGTATCGTCGAGTACGTCGTCGTCTCGGCGAAAATGCAACAGTCTCGAACTTGACTAAGGATGCGCGATTCCTCGTCCTACGAATCTAGGGTATTTTTGCGGATATTATTTTTTCTCGGGCGAAAGTACGTTCCATTTAATGCTACCAAAATTTGTACTGTTCGATTGACCAATCAAGACGAACGGAGCAAAAGCTTCTTTGCTCTGATTGGTCGATCAAAAGCTTCGAAGCCTTCGTAATGTCAAATTAAACGCGAATTGAGCTCGATCGTAAATTAAAGGCCCATCCGCATCGCGTCGCGATCTGAGGAGAGATTACCAATCTGTCATGTTGCACTTCTTTGTTTTCAAGTCGACGCGTATCGGTGGGTCAACTTGAATATTCACTGAATAATCTATGGAAGGACAATAGTCAAGGTTTTGTGATAGCGTTTTATAAACATTTTACACACTCTCGGCTAAGATATAAGTCACTTTTATCACGCCTGATCTCGCCGAGCTTTCGTTCACATTAGATGAAGTGCCGTTAAGCGTTAAGCTCCAAGGAAGACACGCTTTAGAAAAGAGACAAGCGCGTTCGGTCCAAAAATGGCATTAATTAGGAGAGCCTCTCACGCTGGTAGTTGGTACTCTGACAATGGTAAGGAACATTTGTAAAAAATGTACTTCATTTTTTGTTTATTGCTCGTACATGTCGACAACTTTGTTTATTTGATAAAGTATCCGTGGATAAATTTGCGAGAAATGTTAATATTGTAAATTGAAATTTTAAACAATTTATTAATTTATCGTGTGCAAAATAAAAATAGGTTACTAATAATAGAATGTAGTGTCATCCAAAGAAGCTAAAATTGGATCTGATGAAAATCTGTAGAAATGCAATATATTACAGAAAATATATATAAAAATATTTTTTTAGTATACGTAATACATATAGAAATATATATATCTTGTTTACATACATATAGAAATATATATATTTGTTTAAAGATTTTTAAAGATATGCTTGTGATAAAAAATTTTTATTCATATATATTTATGTAATATTAAAATTATAACTCTTTATTATAGGTCCAGAGTTGAGTAAACAATTAGAAGGTTGGTTAGGTGCAGCTGACTTATCTCATGGACCTGCAAGAGCAATCATTGCCCCGTTAGTAATCACTTAGAAAATATAAATATATCTTAAAAAACTCCTCGCTATATATATATATGTAAAAATGATATAATTGTATAATTAATTTTGCAGGCATGCAGGATATAGTTATTGTGGGGCATGTGCTGGTTTTGCTTATCGGCAAATTAGTCCTGTAGTTGTGTAAGTAGATTATATCAATTCAATTATTCTAATAATTAACAATTTATTATGGTTTTTATAAAAATATGAGAAAGAGACAAAGCATTTAAGCCTTGTGGCTTTAAAATATAATATTGTCTTTTTATCACTTATATATTTTTTGTAACAATGTCTTATGCAAAATATTAAAGATTTTCTTTAATTACAATAGGTTAATAAAGAAATTCATTATGCTGCATTTTTGTATGTAAACTTGTGAATTTGTAATATAAACTTGTAAACTTATAATGTAACTAGTAACTTTCATATTTTATGATTATATGCCCTTATAATATGTAATTTGTAATTTGTATAGTTGTATAGTTTTATATTTGTATAGTTTGTAATTTTTCAAATTTCTCAGTCAAATGAAACGTGCAACGTGCTGTTATGCAGCCGTAGGATATTTATTCTAGGGCCTTCTCATCATGTGAGATTACCAGGCTGTGCCCTATCTTCGACTTCCATTTACCGAACACCGTTATATGATCTACATATTGATCAACAAGGTGCATATATGCAGATTTTATTTTTCTGCATCAATATTGCTTATTAAAAAATATATGCTTAGCTCTCATGTGACGGATATAAAAATATTAACCATGTTATTTATAAGCGCTTCTTATATAAAGAGCGCTTAAAAAAAGTTTAATGTGCATACATTTTAACAGTGAGAAGAGAACTTGAAGAAACTGGTCATTTCGAATGCATGGATCTGAACACAGATGAAGAAGAACATAGTATTGAGATGCAGTTGCCGTTCATCGCCAAAGTTATGGAAGGGTACGTTTAGAAATAAATTAATTCCCGATTATATATAATCGGAATATGGAAAATTATATTCATGAGAAATATAATGCAGAGTAAGTGAGAGTTGTACAATTTCTTTTATTTCTTTTTATTATGAATAAAAGTAAGTACATTACTCATGTGGGCATGTCTCTTATATGTGTACACAGATTTAAGGATTCATTTACCATAATCCCAATTTTGGTGGGATCCTTGAGTCCGGATAGAGAAGCGCTTTATGGGAGACTGTTAGCACCCTACATGGCTGATCCGCAAACATTATTTGTCATCTCTTCTGATTTCTGCCATTGGGGACAACGTTTTCGCTATACTTACTATGATAGATCATGTGGACCTATCCACAGATCTATTCAAAATCTTGATAAAATGGTATATATATTTATTTTTGAGAGATGGGGAGAAGACAATCTCCCTATCTTGTTTTCCTATTGTAATCTAAGAATATTGAAAATTTATTAAATGCATGCATATATTTGTCAGGGTATGGACATTATAGAAACTTTAAATCCTGCAATGTTCACTGAATATCTTAAGAAATATGGTAATACTATATGTGGCCGACATCCAATTGGTGTTTTATTGCAGGTATAAACATTATATGTGCAGATATCTGTATAAAAATTTTAAAGTATCTAATTTTACTAAATATTGTATATATTTTATCTTTGCAGGCCATTCACAGTCTCAAGGGAAATACAAATGGTCAAAGAATGAATCTGAAATTTTTGAAATATGCTCAAAGTAGTCAATGTAATAATATGAATGACAGTTCTGTCAGTTATGCTAGTGCTTCCCTAGTTCTCGAGTGATAAAAATATACAATTCGAGCATATGATCATTGACCAGCCTGAATATAAACATTTTCTTAAAGTGGGTTGGCATGACATAATAAGGTTCTATAAATTATTAAACGAGATTATAGAGGCACAGAACGTCGAGAGGTTTTGTAATGCAGAAAGAAGATAGGGGAACACTGAAGTTAACACTCTGCTGTAATTTATAATATTATTTGTATTATGTGGCTATTATACAACAGGTGTCGGGGCAAGTGTTAATTCTTGCGTTATATGTAACAGATGGAAACTGTACCATTATCGAAACCATTTGTATAAATGCATTTCGGTTTATTACTTACAAGAGATATTCAGTACTTCCAGATTTCAATATATAGGAAGGAGCTTAAATATTTCTTTGCTTTGGTTATTGACACAGCTACATATATGGTAGATATATAGTAGTGAAATGTGTTTCTCATATGTGCACATTTGAAAGAGAAAATTTCAAACTACCGGCACAAAAGAGAATATTGTTATTTGTAAACGAGATTATAATTATTAATTTCTTATGTAAATTTACAAATTTATTTAAATGATCCTTATAGTGAAAATACAATTTATGGTGCTTAAATTTTATGTCTAGATTATATATGTAGGTGTGTGTGTGTGTATATATATATATATATATATATATATATATATATATATATATACACCTACATATAAATTTATATATATATATATATATATATATATATATATATATAAATTTTAAAAACAAATATGTTTTAGGTTGATGTAGATTAATTTAAATTATAAGTCCAGAAAGATATATTATTAGTGGACTTTTATGCATATATTGTTACTTTTTAAAGTTATATAATTTAGAAATCGAAATCAATTTCTTTTAAGTTTTTTAATCAAACTAAGTTTATATAATACATTAGAGAAGAATTTTTTGCTTACATTATTTTATTTTACTGTGAAGTTCTAAATTATTTTGAATTGTTAATAAATTGTGAATTTTCTGTAAAGTCTCTTTTGTGCCCTTAGTATGAACAACTTGTATCAATTTGTATTGTAATATCGATATATCAATACAAGAGTTAGGACTTAAAATATATATTTATATGTTCTCTTTTTTTCTTTTTATACAAAGCAATGGAATGATCTCATATCCTTCCTATTCTACAATCTATTGTTACCTAAGCATAGGAGATTAAATCGAATAATCTATTGTATTATTGTATAATATGATGTAAGTCTGAAATGGGGTCAGTATATGTAACTGAAATGTATACGTGAGTCTTCAAACTCATGACGTGTGTTTATTTTCTTTTTTTACATTACTCAACTTCTGCATCAAACAATATATTACGATTTCAAATTATAAATTTATGATACAGAAAATCCAATTTCGAACAAACTAAAGGTAGATGGTATACGGTAATCGCTTTACGTTTCACAGTAAAGTAACTCGTTCGTAACGCAAAAAGAAAAAAGAAGATTGTATGGAATTATACAACTGATCCTGCACATGTTGCTTTTTCTATCTTTATATACTGAAGGTAATAAGGTTTATATTTGTATAAAAAAAAAGTAGAGTAATCTAAACCTATATATTGTTTCATAGACGTGTAGTAAAATTATGCAAGAAAAAATATACAAGTGTTTCTAAATATACAACTTGCGATAAATATATCTCCTAATTACATTGCACATACCTACTTTATCTTTTTGACACCATTTTAATATACATATTAAACTTATAATTTTTTCTTCATGCTGTCTTTTATGTTATCGATATAAAAAGAATTGTGTTAATTAAACAATATAATAAAAACTTGCGATAATTATTCAATTATACGATATCACCCGTGTCTTATTCAGTCTTAGGTCTTCGATTATTGTTAAATTTTTAGCAAGTTACATTTAAATAAATATTATATTGTTGATCCAATCCCATGTAGCAGTCAGAAATCAAGTAGAATGTTAGTTTTGTCATTCCTGAAAAAAATTGGCAATTTTTTGGTTTAAAAAACTTGAGCAAAAAAGAAAACTATGGAATTACAAATATATATAAAGTGAAATTTACCCAAATTATTAGGTGCAGTAAATTGCAATTGGTGATATCTTTGCTGACTATTTATTCCAGATATTCTCTTTAGAGCCCATAATTCTTTGTTTGGAATATCACCTAATATTAAAAACCAACTTTCATCTTTTCCCTTCAAAAACATTGGACAATGCGCTTTCAAAGTTTTGGAATTATTTAATCTTTTCAGTCCAATGATTAACGTATATTCTTCATTCCGTCGAACAATCATAGAATCGACATTATTGTCTTTTAATGTTATCTTCTTTTTTTCAGCGTCAATATCCCACGAACTCTCCAGCATTAAATCAACAGATATTATTGGCATATCTCTAATTGCTTGATATATCTAGAAAAAAAACATGATATAGATTTTGTAGTATAAGTATAATAACAATGCCTTTTACAGATAGTGAAAAAAATTGATATTTTGCTATAATAAGATTTATTACCTCGTTTATTTGTTCTTCTGAATATTCTCTGCACAAAACCTTTGCAAGTTTGTTATAATTTTTGCGCGTACTAAAACATAATATCGGGAAAGCCATTGATAATGATGAAAATAAAGATAAGTCTTCCTTTTTTATATGTGGTAATGTTGTGATTGCGGATTCATCTATCCATCGTGCCTGAATGATCATTTGAAGTAATTGCATTATCGTGAGCGTGCTTGTCAACCAGCCACGTTCTGCGACCGTATCAATCATTGCCTGTATTATTCTGATTGCTTGATCGAGCACTGATTTCAGATCAGTGTTATAATCGGTGCACGGTAATGGCAGTCTTGAAAAATGCGCTTGCAACAAAAGAAACGTTTTTGTGTGCGGAGAATCATAGGTATACTGATCCACGGAATAACGGCATAATTTTGCCAATTCCTCATTTAGTAATTCCTCGTTATGCCTCACAGGTAATTCATTATATTCATATGAATCGCAAAGTATATGTAGACATTGCTCTAATGTTAAGTTTTCTTTCAGCGATTGCGTAAACTTCAACATCGTATTGTGCGATAAGTAATAAAACGACGCTATCTTTCCCATTGGCAGTGAAATTAGAGCCTGCTCGTCTTCATCATAAGCAATACAATTTGAATCGGTTAATGACTTTACGGTCGTCTCCACTAATGTTGAAAGATATCCATTGATGTGATCGGGCTCCAAAAAATCCAGATTGTAATATTTCGGATTCTTCATCAATCTTCGGAAATAATATGTCCATGTTAAATAATCGAGAAATTCTTGTTTCGTTTTGATAGTGCCAGCAACGATTTCGGCATTAATATGGTCGGGCAATACTCCCATTAGACTAGATTCCACGGGGAATGGTTCGTACAGGAATTTTTTGTAGAAACTCTTTTTTATATCATGCACAAGAACAACTGCTACGCCAGAGTTATCGAATTGCGGTCTGCCAGCGCGTCCCATCATTTGTAGAACATCTGTTATTGGCATGTCCACGTAACGTTTCAATTTACCATCATAATATTCTGTACCTTTTATCACTACTAGATGCGCAGGAAAATTAACGCCCCAAGCCAAAGTTGCCGTAGTGATTAATACCTGTATTTTATTGTTGACAAATAATTCTTCTACAGTTCTTCTGTCCCTGTCTTGGAGACCAGCATGATGAAGACCAATTCCGAAGGCGAGCATCAATTTTAGATTTGAGTCTTTTATATTTTCCAGAATATCGCTCATCTGTTCTTCCGGCATGTGTAACCATTGCTTGGGATTATCCTCTGCTGCGAGATAGGCGATTAGATCCAGAGCAGTCAAACGCGTCTGTCTACGAGAAGATACGAATACGAGGGAGGGACTAGTAGGCGCATGTTGCCTGATCGCCTGGAAAGTCGGTCTATTCATGGTCGCCATTCGTGGGCAATAATGTTTGCCAGGAAATCCGTTAATATGAACTTCTAGCGGCACGGGTCTCACAGATGGCCGGAAATTATAGAGGCCCATTTCATCGATGCCCAGCCAATTGGCTAGATCTATTGCGTTGGCCAATGCAGTTGAGAGTCCGACAATTCGAACCTTTTTGTGCGTGTGCGACGATATAAAGTTGGTTCGAGAAATGATCACTTCGAGCACCGGTCCGCGATCTTCGCCCAGTAAATGTATTTCGTCAATCACTATGAGCGCCACTTTTTTTACGTAGCTTCGTGTCTGCCAACTTCGACTGATACCATCCCATTTTTCTGGCGTCGTGACAATCACATTTGCACCGGCTATAATTTTAACGTCGGGCGATACGTCTCCGGTCAATTCCACCACTTTCTTGCCTAGACCTTCCTCCAGCCGTATCTTCCAATCGTTTATACGTTCCCTAACCAGAGCTTTCAAGGGCGCTATGTAAACGACTTTCTGATCAGGATATTGTTTGAAGACACGAAACATGGCAATCTCCGCTGCGATTGTTTTCCCCGAACCTGTCGGTGCACCGAGTAAAACGTTGTTGTCGGTGTGATATAGGCAATGAAAAATCTGTGTCTGTATGGGATTGAAGTGAGAAAAGTTGTACAAATTTTCGAAGAATGGATCCTTCAAAGCGGTTATCGATAACGGTTGCAATTCCAATAGATTTGTGTGCGGCGGGTGAGTCTCCGGCAAGATAAGATCATGAAAGGATAATGGAATTGTATTTTCACAATTAAGCCAATGATCGCTTGTGGCTTTTACGAGATATTGAGTCGGCAGTGGCTCGAGTAACGGTATAGTGATCACAAGTTCCTGTTCGATTTGCTGATAAACCATTTTTTTCGTCAATATAAAGTACTCATGATGATAAATAAAGTTATTATCTGGATCCTCGATCCAAATCCAAAAGGCCTGCGAACTTTTTCCATGAATCTTGTCGTTCCAACGAAACTGCGGATTCAGCGTGAGACGTATTCTTAAGACGGTACGCGTAATAGGCTGTAAGCTATATTCCATATCTAATACAGGCAGTTCGTCGCAGCATTTTTTCACTAGTATCGCTGCTCGTTGATCTCGCAAAATACTGCCAATTTCTTTCACGTCCATTTCTTGCAATCGATAGATCCCGAGATCCCGCTGCTCGATTTTGTTAATGACCTCCATAGGCAAGCAATCGAATTGGCGCAACGGCGTCAAGAAATTCCATTGTTGGGCTTCGAACATTTTTGCCATCTCCAGCAGTCGTCCCGCCATTATCGAGTTGTTCCGTCTAAGCATAATTTCAAATAATGCCCTGGTTATCCTCACAGTATTTTGCGTGACATATGCCATATCGGATATCAATGATGCTGTGTTCACACGAATCTTGGACAGATATGTCTGTAATAATATATTGACTTTCCCGTGGACATTTTCCACGCCGCCTTTTGCCACCATCTCACATTGCTCCATCAGCTCATCCAATTCCTTTATTTCATCATCTCGCACCTTGAGTTGATTGAATTCCTGGGCGTGCGTGATCATAGCCAAAATTTCGGCTTCGGTCATGATAGATTTCTGAAGTTCGTTAAAGATTTCGATCGTATCATATTTGAGATAATAATGGCTCGCGATACGTCCTAAATCAGTCGTACTAAGATCCCCGGTAGGTATATTGTATCTAATCATCTGTGCTTTGTCCAACCTCTTTGCGGCGAAATCCACGAGCTCTTTTCGTTTCTTCTGAAGCTGGGGATCGTTCGCGATATCTTGGTAAACCATGCCGTATGATTGAAAGTTTATTCTCATTCGTACGAATAAATAAGTGTAGCTCAACCATTCGATCGCTTCCTGCACATTTGATATGGTGCCTAATGCTATTTCAGCGTTCAAATTATCGGCCAGATACGTGATAAAACTGCTTTCGATCGGTATTTGATTCGTCAACAGTGACAGATAATGAGATAATTTATTGTGCGATGTGATAATAACCGCATGACCCGATGTGTCAAATTGTGGCCTACCAGCGCGGCCGAAGATTTGTAAGACATCCAGTATCCCCAGATCTACGAACGAACCGTGTTTTGAATCATAGATCTCAGTTCCTCTTATGATAACTGCGTGAGCAGGCAGATTCACACCCCACGCCAATGTGGCGGTGCACACCAGGACCTTAATCAGGCCATCAGCGAAATATTTTTCAACCAGATTTCTATCTGAACGCAGCAAACCGGCGTGGTGTATCGATATCCCACTATTGAACAATTCACTGAGAAATTTGTTAGGCGATTTGGCAAAGGCATTGTTCATGTGTTTCGCTTGCCCATCTGATAGAAAATATTTAAGCGTATCGTTCTTTAATGCCACTTCTTTTAGGACATTTGCCATCCTTACAGTGGCATTTCGTGCATGCACGAATATCATAACTTGATGGCCCTGACGCACCATTTCTATAACGTTATTATAACACATGAGGTCTATATCGCTCATTTGTTGTAGCAGTTTGGTAGCTTTCACGCCGATAAAAGTTTGACTAAGGGGCACTGGTCGGAAGCGATGATCAAAGTAGAATAAACCCTTATTAGGATTGACACGAAGAAATTGTGCAACATCCACATAATTTGGTAATGTGGCGGAGAGGCCGACTATCCTAATCATACTCTGTGATGATTCCACCTGACGCAGAGTTCTCGCGACTAACGCTTCCACTACGGGTCCTCGATCACCGTGCAACAAGTGAACTTCATCAATGATTAACAATTTCACAATACTAGTGAGAGAAATATCGCCTGTACCTTTTCTCGTGACAACATCCCATTTTTCCGGTGTGGTAACTATCATTTGAGTTTGTTGAATTTCCTGTTTTGTCAGCTGCATATCGCCAGTTAACTCACGAACGCATACGCCCATAGGACTGAGTCTTTTATTAAAATTGGCTGTCATCTCCGCTGCCAAGGCTTTCATAGGTGCGATATAAATTATTTTGAACTGACTCTTCTGCAATTGTCCATCTTGAATGTTCTGTTTTAATTGATGTACTATAGTCAACATTGCTACATTTGTCTTTCCAGCTCCGGTCGGTGCGCAAATCAATAGATTTTCGTTGGAATTGTACGCCGCATTAAAGACTATACTCTGAATTTTATTTAATGACGTTATGCCATTAAAAGCCATTTGACCAACTTCGTCCAGGGAAGATATTAATACAGTATCTACGTTAACATCAATATGTTCTTTTTTTGGTGCCGGTATATACACTTCCTCACAGAGATCATTATTCTTTCTCTCAACATCTTCTGCTAGAATTAACTTTTGCCCTGACACAAAACTCGCATTGGCGTTAGCTTTAGAATCAAATACAAATGGATATTTTTCCTGTGTACCTCTTTTCAATGTATTTTTTTTAGGAAATATTGGTGCATTCCTAGCTATCAATGCCTCTTGTCTCTTGAGTCGGAGTTCGGTTGGAATAATTTCAGTTTCTTCAATTTCCGACTTGACATCTCGTTTGTTCGCCATTTTGGTTAATTTTTTCTCTTCTTTACGTACTTGTTTACATAACTTTTTTTCTAGTTCGGATTGTACAGTGACTTGACCACTAATTATAGGTCCATTTACAGTTGTTTGCTGTCTCTTGGGCACTTTTGAACATGAATATGTCGATACAATAGTCTTCTGATGTTCGATAATATATTCAATAAATTCTAAATGTTCAAAACCTAACATATCGAATAATTCGGTTTGTATATTTTCGGTTTGTACATTCCTCAGCTTATCCACTATGACCGTTTCAAAATCCTGATATGACATTGCAACAACTTTACAACAATTTTTTAATTCTTTTATAAATGTTGCTTTGTCAAACTGCAATTAATAAAATAGAGAAAATTGTAGAAGATTAATTATAGATTAATTAATTCATATCTATATCTTACTCACTACAGATTTTTTCTGTACTGAAGATGCTGTGTCATGTATCATCATTGTAAATTTATCAGTACTTGAATTTATCCCTTGTGTAGACATATTGTGAAGTCCACTGGTGTTAGGCCACACAACTCTTGCTTGATTATAGGGAATATTTCTACCAAAAACACGCATATTGGAATCATCCATATTTTCTTTAGATTCTGATAACAATGTTACAGCTTCTTCATAACATTCTTCCTGAATTTTTTTGACTATCTAAGTAGAATTAAATCAAATGATATAAAATGATTAAATAGGATATGGTATAACAAATATTGATATAAATTATAGGAATACATACTTGCATCATATTATTTGCGGAATGAAATGTTAGACATCCAACTTTTTGCCCAAGCATATTATATTTCTCTCGCGTTAAGGTGTTCTCTTCGATTAATAAACGTAATGCATAAACTATGAATTCATTTATGGCATCTGGAGGAGCATCAACTGAAAAAAATGAATAAAAATTATAATCTTATTTACAATAAAACAATATACTAAAAAATTCTTATTAAATACAATGTCTTATCTTCATTCATATTCTGCAATATTAAATGTAGAATTAAGAATACAAATATGTGAGGAAAAATAGATTATTTCATTAATTTCTGAAATTTAATTTGCAAAAATATATCTGTTATAAATAAGAGATAAATATGTTTTATCTTTACTATTTAATTACTCACCTAAAATTTGTTGCACAATATCTTTCAATGCTGATAAATGTATCATAAAATCTTTAGATGCACTTCTGTATATATCATGCCAATCAAGAGTGCTATAATATATATATGAAAATATAAGATTATGAAGAATTGTGCAAACTCTGTGTATCTTACATTTATATTATACTAGTAAATGTGATATAATTAAATCCATAAAACATATTATATTTTAAAAGTATTATAAAACCACATTTTTTAAAACCACATTTTATAAAACCACATTTTTATGATAACCTGATAAAAAGAGAAAATAAACAATTTTGAAATTTTATCTTTACTTATTTTTAGTTTTGAAATTAAAACAATAATTAAAATGAAAGGAAAGGAAATTTATATATTCAAAACTTAAAAATTGCATGATTTATATACCATAATTGTCCCAAAAGAGTTAAACATTCTCTATATAAATGCTCTTTCAAATTCAGAATCTACGTTCTTAATTTTCAATTTACCTTTTTACTTCTTTTGCTCGTTCTTGTCTTTCTTGCCTTTTTCTTATTAAATCATTTGGTTCAAAATCTACTGCTTCTCCTCTACGTTCAAGAGAAGTAAACATGCGTAAGGACCTAGTAATACGTGGTAATTTCGACATTGTGTACTACCTGTTAATTAAATTTAATATTAAATAGAACATATATATAATTTATGAAATATTATTTATAATGAAAATGTACTATAATATACTTTATAGATAGATTGAATATAATTTATTAAGTTATAACAATATATAATATAGTAAATTTCTTATATTATTTATTTCAAAATTGATCTAAGTAAATGAATTTAATAATAAGTAATATAACAATTATTTTTCTCTTTCCTTTTTTTTAAGAAATGGATGATTTTCTTTTGTGCCTTTAATTAATCATGGGTTTCCTTATGGTTATTAAAACAATCTTTGTGATAGGTTATGAAAATCAAATCATAAAAGATGCTTAACAAATTATAACAAATCAAATTGTCACGAATCTAAATTTTAAATTACGTAAAAATTGAAAGACAAAACTTTTTTTAATATTCTAATTAACAATTCCTGTTATGAAAGTTTTGAAACCTATGATACTGTCAGATTCTAATTTAGGATTACAATATGCTCTTTATGTATGATTTCTGATATCAAAATAATATATGTAATTATGATGTAATGATATATGTAATTAAATAACATATATATATAATTATTATAAATAAATAATGTTAGAGAAACATATTTTTTACAAAGAATCATAAAATTCTTCAATATTTGTAATATATATGAAATTATGTAAAATATTTGCAAAAGTCAATGTATTACATGACATAATGCAATGTGTATGTATGTACATACCTAAAGGAAACTGAAATTTCTCGAAATAAAGATATATTTTTTTATGTGTATAAAATTTTAATAAAAGAAATATTAAAAATAAAAGCACATATATAAAACGATGAAATAAATTAATGAAGAACTATTGTTCTTCAGTATTTAAGATGTATCTCATACACCACTATTATTCATTGGGCTATAATTTGCGGACATTGAGATGCATTCATTAAACAATAATCGTATTTCAATCGATTTACATACCAAGAAGGAACTTCAGCAAAAGATGCCTTCGTAACAAGATCGTAACGATGATTGTCAATTATCGAAACAATGTAGGAAAGATCAACTCGTAATGTAATTCTCGTCGCAACACGATTATACTTTCACCGATGGCACTGTGCGACTGTCACGATTTTGCCGATTCGAATCATTGACATCACGAATGATAACATAAGGCAAAATAAACACTAGGTTCGCGTAAAAATGTTCCTAGGCTATTTTAATTACGTTCAAAAAACAAGGGGTCTGTTCTTTTTAGCTGCACTGCTGCACTAGTGCAATAAGTTAGAAAGAGACAAACATACTTTCTTTCACTCTAACTAATTGCACTAGTGCAGCAGTGCAGCTAAAAAGAACAGACCCAAGTTGTCGAGTAACATTTCATTGACCAATCAGGACAAGGGAATCTTTTGCTCCCTTTTTATTTGGCTATTTACAGAAGATTCCCAGACAGCACGAAAAGGCCAAAAGATGTCTTAAAGATAAAGTCTAAAGGATCTAAAGGATTTAAGATGTCTTTAAGTCGTCTTTTAGATATCTTTTGGACATGTGTGCTGTCTGGGTTGAGATTGAAATTTGATCAATTAAAAAAAGAAATTTCATTTTGCTTTTATTTTGAATGATTAAATTTCAATCTTTAATGGTCTCTGAAATCCATATTAGATTATCTTGAAGTTGAGATTGAAGATTCTCAAGATTAAAAATTGTCCAATCAGAAGAAAGAAATTTTAATTCCTTTCGTTCCGATTGGTTAAATTCCAATTTTTAATCTTCAATCTTTAATCTTTATTGCGTAGTTTGATACGGATTTTTGTTCTAATTGATTAATTACTCGCTATTTTAGTCTGATAAATAGATTTTCGAACGCAACTTTGTTGCAATGTGCCGATTGGCTGCTGACAATTGGCTGATGACAGCTGATGAAGGCCGCAGCACACACTTTTGCATAAGCGCATAACCATAAGCATAAGGAAATTGATTGGTCCCCAAGTATATGCATAAGAAAATGAACCAATCAATTTTCCTACGCTTACGGTTATGCGCTTATGCAAAAGTGTGTGCTGCGGCCTTGACAGCTGATAACAGCTGATAGTTTCATGTATGTGCAACGTAGGCGAGACGAATGACTCTAGCCACGGTAACTTGTCAATCGACCAAGGGATTTTTCTGTTCGTCGATGACACACTGAAACACGAGGAATGTCTTCATCGCAGTGTTTTCACGGGACGATCGCTTGGTGTTGAATGGTGAGCGTGTTGTGTCGACTGCTGTGATCAGAATCGCGGATGAACGCTGTGCGCCTGGAATGACATCGTCGTCGTCGTCGTCGTCGTCGTCATCGTCGACGTCGCGCGGTCACACGCGATTGCAGCATCGTCGCAAATGACGCAGACTCGGCTGCTAAGCCGAATTCTACCACCGGGCGTTCGTCTTCGCGTAGGAAAAATGTCCGGGAATATCGGGACGAATATCGCGGCGTCCTCCCGTTGATTCTGGCGATTTTTTTGCAGAAAACAAACGTTAAACACAAGCAGATACGTACGTACGCACGTACAACACATCCGGGAGCATCCTTCTGTTTTTCCTTGCTGCTGCTGCTGCGAGGATCGATGAACGCGATCGAGGCAAAGTATCGTTTTGCGGCAGGTCTTGGTTGAGAAGTAACAATCATTTTTACGACGCCCGGATCGGCCGAAGAACCGTCTTATAATAATAAGGTATCGCTGCCGACTATCTTCAGTTTCCAGTTTTCTTCTACTTTAGTTTGTTTCTGCTTTCCCTCTCCCTATCAACGATTTCGCGCGCGTGACTCATTTCCCTACTCTCGACGAAGTTTGCCTTACGAGACGCTAGCACGATTTTCCTACTCCTCCCCTGTAGTCATGTTTTGACAAGTACATACTTGACGCATCAAAATCGTCATCGAGATTTTCTTAGATTTCACAGGAAACTCTTGTGCGATTTGCTGAATTATCATGTCTTTGATTATCTCGTTTTTAACATTAATATAATTTTTGCATTAATATTGATATATTCTAATATCTAAATGTTACACTATACATATGTTTATTGAAAATGAAACTATTAACAGTATAATAAAGCAGAAGTATTGAATTTAATATAGACTGTAAGTGATAAGAGCAACAATAATGCATTACGTGTATTGTTCTTCAGCTTTCCATCAAGACTGCCAATGTAAGACTGAATCACTGATGCATGGGATAATCATCTTTGATGTCAAGTACGGTCAGCATCAATGGGAAACTGTTTCTCGTGCTTCAAGGTGCCACTTCCACCATCAACCAATACCGAACAATCAATTGCATTGGAGCATAAAGAAGGTATGTTTAGTACTACTATATTGTTGTAAATATCAATTAATTGTATTAATATGTTTACATCAATTAATTGTATTAATACGTTTAATATGCTATAATCATATGGACTTTATGTATATTGCATATTATAAGATTGCAATGCTACTTATTATTTTTGAGAGATAATAGTGTAATAACTTTAATTTTTTTTTATATAATTACATTCTGGGTTGTTTATTGGAAACTACAAAGTAATATAATAGATTAACTGTTTATAATTCTCAAAAGAAATATAACTCTTTTATATAACTTTATAGATTTAAAATTCTATTATATTTTATAGAAACAATGGAACTCAGAGGTTTGTTCCCAAGTTCTTGCCAACAATCTGGTCCTTTTGTGCCTGAAACACATGTAAATGGAAATAGGAAATCTATAAGTACACTATCTACATTTAATAATGTAGGCTCAGATAATTGTGGTTCTGTGCCTAGTGTACAAAATAATCTGCGCTTATCACGCGGATTTTATGCGAGATTACAGCCATTAGGACGATCTGGTACATCATCTGGTCTTAATTTAGCTACCGAATCTAAGCAACAAAAGGAACCATCGGAGAGCAAATTAAATGCACTTTTTTACCAATATAAGGTAAAAGAGATATGTGTTTCTTTTTGTACAAAAATATATAGAAATTATATTTTATGACAAAAAAAATTTATGTAAAGCATAATAGATTACTTTAAGGTAATAATTTTTACATATATTATATATAACTTATGGAATTACAAAAAAGAAAGAGTTATAACATAGATACTATTAATCACAATTTAATTATATTGATTTTACATATTTATTTTTAAGGATCCTCATGAAGATGCGATATTAGCTGATGGCATAGAAAGACTCTGTGATGATTTACAATTATCACCTGATGAATTTAAAGTTCTTGTGCTTGCATGGAAGTTAAATGCAGAGCAAATGTGCCAATTCACACGCCAAGAATTTATCACAGGATTAAAAGCTATGAAGGTCGACAGTATACGTGGTATACAGGCACGATTGCCTGAAATTGTTCAGGAATTGACGGTCAATAGTGATTCATTCAAAGATCTCTATCGATTCACATTCCGATTTGGCCTCGACGTGACGTCTGGTCAAAGAATTTTACCGGCTGACATGGCAATCGTCCTTTGGAGACTTGTCTTCACAATACGTGAACCTCCGCTCTTGATGAGATGGCTTAATTTCCTCAAATGTCATCACATCCGGGGGATACCTAGAGATACTTGGAATATGTTTCTAAACTTTGTCGAAAGCATTGGTGATGATCTTGGTGCTTACGATGATGCAGAAGCATGGCCAAGCTTGTTTGATGACTTTGTGGAGTACGAAAATGACCAAATGAACCAAAATATCACTAAAGATGATATTATGAAAAATACTTCTATTGACAAAGATTAATGTTTGTATTTGAAGGAAAATAACAATGAAGCAGAAAAATATTGTTGTCTTAAATCCGACCTTTGAACAGGATCGTCTAAATGATATTATTCTAAGAAAGATCGACTTTTTATTCTTATCAGTATAATCGAGGAAGCTGTATTCCTGATTATTTTTTTAATTTTTTAAACAATCTTACATTTGTTGATATTTGCGATATTTTGTTTATATTTAGCATTCTCTTTCCTAATGTAAATATATAGAGTTTATTTAATGTAATATTATTTAATTGTCTTGTCATATATATATATATATAATATACAGGGTGTCCCAGTTATCTTCCGTCATCTTTCAAAGACAGATTCCTGGGATCATCTGAAGACGATTTTCGTTGAGGAAAAATCGTTTTCAAATGATCCCAGGAATCTGTCTTTGAAAGATGACGGAAGATAACTGGAACACCCTGTATGTATATATATATAAAAGATACATGAGAAATCTCCATATTGTTAATTTTAATATACTGGCAGCAAGTTATATTATGTATTTTTTTTATAAAAACAAAGTATACATTTATTATCATAAAATTGTATTTTTATATTTTGTTTAATCATGATAATATCTAACTATGCATACATTTTAGGACAAGTCAAAATCATATATAAAAATTGAAATATTTTTAACATTATTATTATAAATTATAAATATCAATATCTTTTTACATAATCATCATCTTACTCAGAAATCTAGAAAAGGTATAAAAAAATTATGAAAAAGTTTGATACAGTAATAAAAAAACTGCAGCTTTAAAAAAAGACAAATATTGTTAATAGATAATAACGTGATAAATATTGGATATATGAAAAAAATGATAAATATTGATCTAATAATAAGCATTAATTTGTTTTTAGTTTATAACGATATAATAATATATGTATTTGGTACTATAGTTTCTCTTCTATTTGAAATTTTATGCAGCTAAAGAGAAATTTTATCAAATTGTCAATTTTATGTATATAACATAAAATTACTTATTGTAGAACATAATAAGTCATAGATCAAAATATTTGTATATTATTTTGATGTGTTACTATTCACATAAAAAAATGTTTACTAGAAATATATAATTCTACTATAATATAAATTCTCTCTAAATTAAAATTTCTTGCGAAAAAATACAATGAACATCTTGAGAAGATTCTGTTCAAAGGAATTTGTGCAGGGAAATATGAAAAATGTAATTTTGCATAAGGACAAGTTTAAAAAGAATTCTCACACAATCCAAATTTGTGATACGGTGTGCATAAGTATATACAGTTTCCAATGCATTAATATTTCTTACATTTTTTGAAAATACTATTAAACATGAACAAAAGAAGAATGAAATATCTTATTATATAAAGATTCAAAAATTTTCTTCTGACTATATATATATATAATTAGTATGGGATGTGTATGTGCGCATTAATTTCCAAACTTGTATAAACATTTAATGTGACAAGATATATTTGCTATAAATTTCAGTGCAACTTTAGCATTTATAACAATATTACAAACAATGGAAAATGTACCAATTTAATTTTAATTATTCTATTCATTCTTTCAATTTTATTTAAGGGAAAAAAGCCTTGATAACGTGCTGAGAAAAGGAAGGATATTAGCTGAGTATTAGTGAACAATGATACGCAGTGACTTGTAGATTAAGAGAAAATATGGAAGCTCTTTTTACATTTTGTGAGCATACGAGAGATAGAGAGGTTGTCTATATACATGTATATAGTGCCATGTCTTTCTGAAACAACAGGGAGATTTCTATCGAATTAGTATTGAAAGAAATTAATGGAAAATCAAGATATTAATGGCTTCAACAAGAAGATATATATTTGTACTGCGATCTTATCTCTATAATTTTTTATCCCAATATGAGCCTGAATGAAAAAAAATCGACATTTTGCAAGATATTTTATCAGAAGTATCATGCTTGAAAATGTTCACCGTCCTTTTGTCCGCAGTACCTGATCAAACAGGTACAATATATAGATACCAAGGCTTGAAAGTACGATTTAGATTTTAAAATGATGCTTACGCAGAGGAGATTGATATGAAATATATATCGCGCAGTATACATGCGTGCGCGATATATATTTTTAAATTACAATTTATATATTGCACATATATAAATGTGAATATATTGAAATGTGAATATATTGAATTATTATTGAATATTTATTTATTATATTTTACGTGATTATTCTATTATTGAATATTTATTTATTATATTTTACGTGATTATTCTTCCAGGCTTTCTCTTTTAAATTTTATCTTTTACATCTAAATTATATGAATATATATGTATATTTAATCAATCTTGTATAAAAAAACAAAATATTGATGATATTGATAAATTTTTTTATATAAATATACTCTTTCTAAAATTAAAAATTTCCTCTGTGTCAGCATTACCTATCAACTATAAAATTTTTACATTTCAAATATATAAATAATATTCAACAGACGCACATGTATTACTAATATATTCTTGCTTTCTATGAATTAAACAAATGCTTAAATTTAAGCAGATGTTTATCTATAAGAAATTAGATATTCATATGTATGTGTATTATCTGACTGCAGTGACTCATGATTTTTTAACGCTTCCATTTAATTGTTAAAATATAGTGTAGTGTTAAGAGAATCGCATAGGAGCGACTTTCATTGTGATAATTCCTGATCAGGTCGAGCCTGATGAAAAGAAAAATAAAAAATATTGTCAAAAATAAAGAAGCTAAAATAACAGTGATACCAATAAATAAGAATGAAGTGATAGATTATATATATACATATATGAATAAATTCTTTGCGTGCTGATATAATAGAGATTTACAATTAAAATTGTACATTTCGTATAAAAACTAATAAATTGATTTTGATTCTACACAGTCAGGTAACAAGTATATAAATATAATAATTTGATAATGAAATATTAATAAAGTCTAATTTTTAATGAGATTGAATATAATTAATTCTATTTTGCAATTATTAAAATCGAGCTTTTTTTCTCCATTTTAGTTTTATATATTTAATATATAAAACCTTAGGTATATATATTTATAGTTTTATATATTTAAAGATTTCAAAAAATGTTTTCTTTTCATAAACATTTTTACTTCCAATATAAATGTTGAGAAATGCTTTGTCTTGTTCTAATCGTACGTAGCAAATATAAATGAAAGAATCTTTTGAAGAACATTATATTGTAATCTATTAAATTTTATATATTATATATATATACAAGCATGCATCTAAGATATCGGGCCACGTTTATTTTGACTTTACAAGTGGAGGTGTTTGATCGATCAATCAGAACAAAGAAATCTGCATCAATTGGCAAATAAAAAAATAGCGACTCAATTATTATAAAAAGTAGTAAATTAATTATAAGATGTAATATAACGCGATTTCAATTTAGTGGGTCTTTTTATCCAGAGTCGAGTATCATCGTCGTCGCCGATAAACCAAGTTGCACAGGTTATAACGAAAACCCATAATTTGTCAAGAGGCTCTGCACCGTGTAATTTGGGACCACTTCGTTGACCAATCGGAACAAGGAAACTTTGGTTCTCTCTGTCCTGATTGGTCAATAGAGCTCTACTTTCGCCAATAGATTTCCGAACGCACCCTCGACACCTACGATATTTGCACTTATTTGTGCTCGCAACGTCGTCAAAGCAGCTGCCGTTGCCGCTTACTCTTTGACGCCGCGAGGCTACCGCTGGGCGTCTTCACGCAGTGAGTACTAACTTGTACCCACTTGTACCAAGTTCGCACAGCGGTGATCGCTGACGTTGCGTCGCGGTCGCTGGGAGTCCGCGTTGCCGCGATCGAGTGTCATTGCTGATTCAATTTAACCTAATCGCTGTGCGTGCATTTCTCCGCAGAATCTGTTTCTCGTGTAAAAATTTCTCTCGTTCTCGTGACTCGCAGTTCACTTGATCCGTATGCATCGTCTACCTGCGATTGTTGCCTGTTCTCTTGAGGAGGTACGTTGTGTAGTGTTTGTACGTGTGCGTATTGTATAATGATGTGGAGAGAGAGAGAGAAAGAGAGAGAGAAAGACGATCCTTGTGCAAGTGTTGTGATATGTGTATCGTGTTATATGGAATTAAAATATATCATGATATGTATTTTCTTGATTGAAATTTTATTTTTTAAAAATTTATGTATATATATATATATATATATATATATATATATATATATACATACATCACATAATATGTCTATAGTATTTTTTTATGTACATTTTTATGTCTATAGTGTTTTTGTTATGCTTTTCTCTATTCTTCTGTTCCAAGATTCTACATTAGTAATATAAATTCAATTTTTATGTTAAATATTATATCATATTTATTTTTGAGGAGAATAAAATAAAATTCTTATGTAATATATTTTTTGCAATTATTTGTCTTATTAATAATAATTATTTTCTAATGATAATTATTGTAATTATTATAATCTTATATACATATATTTTCAGGCTGTTTAAGTAGAAACAATGTCTGTACATTACAAGTTTAAATCTACTTTGGACTATGACACTGTATCATTTGATGGACTACATATTTCAGTGGCAGATTTGAAAAAAGCTATATTTCATCAGAAACGTATCGGCAAAAATACAGATTTTGATTTACAAATTACAAATGCTCAAACAAAAGAAGGCAAATATTTTATTTTATTATTAAATGACTTCTTTTTTATTTATACTTATAAAATTATATAAATATATTTTATAATCGATATAATAATATATTGATAATATTTAATTATCATACTATTTTCCATAGATTATACGGATGATAATGCATTAATTGCTAAAAATACTAGCCTTATTGTTGCAAGAGTTCCATTAACAATACAACAAAAACGCTCTTGGGATCGAAATGAAACTCCTCCATTTAGTAATTTAAAAGATGAAGCTAATATGAACAGAGCTGTAGATCTCACAAGATTAGATGGTTCAGAAGAAGATAAAATTCGTGCAATGATGACACAATCGACTCAAGACTATGACCCTTCAAAGTATATGATTTTATATATTTTATTATTTTAATTAATTTGTTTCCCAATTTGTTACAAAATTGTAAATATGTATATATATAATTTAAAGTTATAT